TATGTTTGTGTTTACTAGTTTTACATCTTCTTCTATTTTTTTCATTCGTTTTTCATTTGTTAGCTATTCGTTAGCTATTCGCTAGCTATATTCTTCACCATCAGCTATTTTGAGACTAGATTGAGAATGGTCGCCATTCTGTACAGCGTGGACATAAAACTGGAGAGTTCCGAACTTATTTTATGAAAATTCATCTGAAGGAAACTTTCCCATTACATAGGAGTTGAATTGCACAATGAATTAAGACAAATACACAGGACTAATGATAACAACGATAAGCTATCCGATAGAGAACTCAAAAATGTTATGCTTAAAAATGCCTTCTATTCAGTATTTCTTCTTGTTTACCTGTTTGTGGATGTATAGGAGTGATGAATACTTTGTGATTATATTTTATTGTGCTTATGTTATGCATTGTACATTTTGTCTGACCTTTCATGCTGCAATAAATATTCTATTCTACTCTTCTCTATTCTATCGGTAAAAATGTCACGAAGGAATAACGTTATCTTGAATCAAAAGTTATATTAATGTTGGTGAATGGTTATATAATAACCATGAATTCATGTTATCAAAACGTATTCATATAAAGCTTATCATAACCAAATATAACAATTTTCGTGCCATCAGTACCTGCATACAGGGTGTTCATTTCAGGACTTCCCACCCTAATTTTCTCGAAATGTGTGTATGTTTTTGAAAAATCCCGAGACACGTCAACTACATTTTCGAGGGGGACATGGTTCTAAAATATTTTTAGCCCCGCGGCGTTGCCGCTTCTAACGAAAAGAAGCAACAACTTTGTTATTTCAAATGGAACCCCCTGTATTTTATTGCATTTTTAGATTCTCCCTGAAAAGCTGATTTCATCAATGTATCACACTTGGGGTCTAGCAGGAATGATTACAGAGATATAGGGTGTTCAAAATCGAGATTTTACAACTTTAGGATTTTTTCGAGTCGAAACTATTCATTTTTGGTCAAAACGGCTTTTATGTCCCTATCTCAACTTTTGATTTACTATCTACTGACATTTATTTGAAACAAATACAGGGTGGTTCAAGATTCAGACTTTTCGAGAAAATTAGGGTGGGAAGTCCTGAAATGAACACCCTGTATGTCCAATTTTATCAACAAGAGGAATGAATTTCCCTTTGTTGATATTTTGTAAATATTTCTCATTTAATAATAGTTATTTATTATACAAGGGAAAAAAGTAGTAGATTTTAGCTCCAGGTTGTGTTGTCTTCCGACGCGTAGCGGAGGGAGACAAAAACCGTGAGCTAAAATCTAATATTTTTCCCGTGTATAATACGCTATTTTTTTTCTGTGACAGAAGAAAGGGCGAATCAATATTGAGAAGATATTACAATATTTTGAAATCTGAAAATTATCGACGTGAAATTTCAAGTTTTTAACAGTAGGGACACCTGCGTTGTAGGCATCTTTATCGTTCCTTTGAAGTAATCAAATATCTGATTTCACTTCTGTCAGTCTACTTCTATGATTTGACTTCAAAAAATTGCGAATTTAGTGGTTTTTTAGGAATATACGTAACCGCGAAGTCTAATGGACGGTAAAAGGACTTGCAGTTCTGTCTCGAAGACGGTATTATTGACTCATTTTTCGGATCTATAGCACAACAAAAGCAATCAACAGTGTATATATATGTGATATATATCCGGGAAAACAGTACTCACTTTTTTCCCACGGGAAAAAAGTAATTTATGAGAAGTGACATTTTATAACCTGCCAACAGAGATGAAATGCCAAACTTTTTTCCCGTCACAGAAAAAAGTATATATACATTTGTCAAAAACAATTGACAACGTTAAAGAATCAACGAATAGCGTATTTTTCCCCCATTCAATGTTGAATCAACGTACATACATGTGCTCATTGTGACATTTTTGATATTCTCAAAATTGTTAATAGTTAAATTACAAGTTCGAAATTTTGCTGGGTGTACCTTACTTCCAAATTCCGCAGTCAATGAGGAAACCATTGCATGCTTGTATCTCAGCTGAAGATAGTAATTGTCTACGATTCTTGTAGATTAATTAACATCTATATGCCTTTTTTGGCAATAAAATGTTTCCAATGAACGACCTCCTTGAATTTTTGCTGCATGTTTAAAAACAACCTGCATATTATCTCACCCACTTTTACTCTAAGAGTAACTATTGAAACGAAAGATTTATTTCGCTTATTTGCTCAGAGGGAAAGACATCACATTCTGAGGACCTTTGTGGCACCGCTGCCAAATCAACAATTTTAGAGGATTATTCGGATAAAACATTTTATTGATGTCCAAAATAACTTACGTCAAAATAATGGAACAACTTATATCATTGTTAATGAACCAAAGACAACATAAGTGTCAGAAATTCAAGACTGATAATGATTATTAGTTAGTTAATTATTAGTAAACTTATTAGTTATTGTGAGGTACACAATAAAATGAAAAATATGAAGATGAACGTGGCGGCACCACAAAGTTTATTTTATAAATATTATTGATCTACAGCATAATATTTTATGGATAAATATGGTTCGGTGCTGTCAAATGTGTAAAGAAAAGTTAGTTACAAATATCCTTATCTGACACAGGTACATAGAGATTTGCTCCAGAGGCGTTCTTGTTTGGGGGCTTGTTTTTGTTGATGAAAAGCGTGTTTGAAATATTGAAAATATCGAATAACCACACTACGAATTGGCGTATAGATATGTTAGAATACGTGAAAGCTGATTCACCAATGCATGTAAAAACATTCATAGTATTCCCGAATTATTAGATACGTGGAATATACCTATTGAATATTATTATTCTCTTGCAATGGGGTGTATGTATGAAACTCATCTAAAACCTTTGTTATGTATTCAAAATTATGATTTTAGAAAATAATATATTGAATTTTTGACAATTATTTTATATTCATTATTCCAATTTTTTTGTGATTTTCTCTCCTCGTTTCTATAAAATAAAAATATGAATATTATTTCAATATACGTGTAGTAAGGACAAATCAGATGATTTGCCCCAAAATGTCACTGCGTTTAAAGAATTTCCTATCAGAGAGTCTAAAAGAAAAATTCACTAGCTTGTCAGTGACAATTTGTATTGAAAAATTTTTGGAGAAGAGAAATAAAGGTATATAGAAAAAATTTCAAATTTTCACTTATCTTTGGACGTTTCGGGACCGATTCTGCTCCCGTTTTCAACATATTTTTATTTTATAGAAACGAGGAGAGAAAATCCCAAAAAATTTGGAATAATGAATATACCACCTCCTCGATTAACCTACAGACAGTATTTAATTATTTTATAGTTGATAAGGCGTGAATCATCTTTAATAAAAAAAAATCGGCAATAACAAATAAAATCAGTCGTAGTTATGATACAAGAAACAAAATCAACAAAGTACGATTTGAAAAACATAAGCTTAAAATTTTAGAAAAACATTCTAGTTTTATCGTATCTAACATTTATAATAAAATGCCATAAAATTTGACACGTCTAAATATCATAACTTTCAAAACATAAATTAAAAGTTGGCTGATAGAAAATGCAGTTATTTCCACCATTCTCCAATCTGGACGCCATTTTGAAATATACATATTCCAAAAATGTTGTTTCAATATACTTTCCTAAAAAATATTGTTCTTTGTTTGCCAATTTATTATTGTTGATATACAGGGTGTTTCATAATTGAATGCTGATCCTTAAGGGCGATAATCCTTGGATGATTTCAAAGAGGAAAGTTCATATAAACATATGTCCTAAACCTCTCAGTTATTGAGATAAAGGGTGATGAAATTTCAAGAAAAAAATGAGTTTTTCATCATAATTTCCTATCACTCTTAGATATTGTTATGATATTTTGTATACACCTTTTCATTATGAAGGAGCATTTTTTTACGTGAAAGATATTCGAAAATTCTCGCCAGTGGCGTCCGTACGGGGTTTGAACTGACAATTTTTGAAGAAAAAAATAGTACGCCACTGATTTTTCTGAGAACCAGATACATTTTTTCAATTCTTATTCATTTTGGAGCAAATTTGGTTCCCAGACTCACTTTCATACGCTGTACCGTTTTCGCGTAAAAAAATAAAAACCAAAGAATTTTGTTCCTTCAGTTCTTGGATATTGTTTTTGGTAATTCAGTAGACACCCACTATAAGTGGAAACACATTTTGTTTTGGGACGAAAATCAAACTTTTACTTTTACCAGTGATGTCCTCGTAGACCTGATATTGAATGTTTTGTTTAAAAAAACGCTGTACGCTTCTGATTTCAACACCCTGTAGCTCAAAAACTAAGAGGTTCAGGACATATGTTGATATGAACTTCTCTCCTTAAAATCATTCAAGGATCATCGCCCTTCAGGATCAGCATTCAATTATGAAACACCCTGTATATTGAATCATGAAATGTTCACCTATATGTAAATAATGATGTACTTACTTCCCCATACCAGATCCTATTCTGTCTGGAAGTTATTTTTTTGATGAATAAATAAATAAATAAATAAATGAATAAAAGTTATTAATCACTTCGCTGGACATTGAGATGAATCGATCATTGATCGCTTTCATTAATAAAATAGTTAAATAACCATTTGTGTTGGCCACGTCGAAGATATGTAAATATATTTGAGAATAGACTTAATATTTCGAATTTTACATCCAATGGACAGAAGAAAAAATCTGGATTACTCTTAGAAAAGAGAACAAGATGTTGAAATTATCACAAAAGGACGGAGTGGGTAGATAATACTTGAAAACATGTCAATTTATGTACCAATCTCCCCTAATATCCTCAATTGATTATATCGACTAACAACTCTCCTTAACTGATAATCACAATTTGCAATTATCTCTAATTATCCGTTAGAACATGCAATTATTGTTTCAGCTTTGTTCAACAATGTCTAATAATCGCTTTCGTACAATTAATTATAACTGGGTATTCCTGTAATTACATAATCTTATTACCTTTCTACATTACTTTTTTTTCGCAGTATGCTGCGTGGACGCTTTCACAGACAAATCGATATTGACTCTGAAAAAGAAGAAAAGAATCGATTAATATAGTAATGAAATTGACATTTTCGACAAAGCTAGGTGAAAACTGACTTCAAGAATCACTGTCAACTTTGCAATTACGAAATTCCGTTGGAACCTGGACGGAGCATGTATCAACTCAAATGGAATGAGAACATAACAATTATTGATAGATCATTAATGTAGAAGAAATTAACATTTATCAACTTCACAGGCTCATACATACATTTGCAAGTGGAATGTTTGTTGGTTTGTAGATCAATATTGAAGTTCTATCAGATCCATGCTCGGATAATATGTTTAATAAAATCAACTCAAAGATGACTAAATTCTTGATATGGTGCCAATCTAACATGATCGTGAAGGGCCGATCAACAACAACAAATCTCACCATTATTACGCAATACATAGCGGAAAATATAGATGCCAGAATTCAGACAGATGTTATTTACATGGATATGACCAAAGCATTTGATAGACTTGACCATAATCTGATACTGCAAAAACTGTCGAATTTCGGGTTATCGACTAACCTACTTGCATTATTCAAATCATATCTGTCCAATCGCACACAGTATGTACAATTAAATGGATTCAGGTCTAAGAACTACTTGGCCAAATCAGGTGTACCACAAGGATCTAACCTCGGTCCACTATTGTTTAACATCTTCATCAATGACATTCGTGACATAATTGAACTGAATTTTTTATTGTATGCTGATGATCTTAAATTTTTCTCCCCTATCAATAATATGAATGACTGTGAGAAACTATCGGAAAATCTTAATCAGATCAGCCAATGGTGTAGTCGTAATAATCTAGCGTTGAATCCTGCCAAGTGTTGCGTAATGTCGTATACACTAAGATCTGATCCAGTTCTATATTTGACTATAAGATAGACAATCATTCTCTAGACAGACCATCTAATTTTGAGGATCTTGGAGTTACCTTCGACCGAGAGCTGTCTTTCCAAAACCATGTGGACAATATAAGTACGTCAGCAAGCCGTATGTACGGATTTCTAATTAGAGTAGGCAACGACTTTAATCATGTGACACTCAAAACTCTTTACTATGCATTTGTCAGATCGAAGCTAGAATTTGCGTCAGTTATCTGGAACCCATATTATCAATGCATGTCTATAAACTGGAGGCAATCCAAAGACGGTTTCTCAAATACTTAAGTTTTAAAGCAGATCGGACTTATCCACCAATTGGCACGTCACACGAGAGTTTACTGTCAAGACATAGCTTTTTCAGCCTGGATCAAAGACGGAAATGTTCTGGTGTCATTACGCTACATGAAATAATTAACAATAAAATTAGATGTCAATGCTTACTACATCAGATAAACTTCAAAATTCCCCGTCAGGCATCTCGATGCACCGACTCTTTCTACATTACCACGCCACGAACAAATATATACAAAAACTCTCCTGTTCATACTATGTGTAGCAACTATAACTTAATAAGTAACCAGCTTGATATATTTCATTGTAATGTGAGGCAAATCAAAAACTATTATTATCAGCAGTAATATTCTTGTATTAATCTCTTACTTTTTGCAAATGTAGTCATTGTGTAAATTGTGTATCATGACAAGTTTTTTCTATTGTTTCTTTCTATTGTTTGTTTTGTATTGTTTACTTTTGTGCAAATTTTTGCACTGTTCTGTAATTGGAAATCTTTTTTTCTGTAGAACAGTGTAAATAAAATAAAAATGAAAAATGATAATTAATCATGATAAGATAAGTGATCATCGAGCTCCACAATAGTCATCGGCCACCACTCAATCTAAAAATTTTGTTCAACAACACTGTTATCAAAGCTTCTTATTCTGTAAAACTCCTGGGAACAATAATTGATGAAAATACGACATGGAAACACCATTGATCAGGTTAATCGAAAACTTAATTCAACTTTGCAACTTCATCTCTTAAAAACAATCTGCACACCCATTATCTAATGAATATTTACGATGCTTCTGTATAACTCGACTGTGTCATATAATATAATTGATTGTTATTCAATTTCCCATTTAATTCGTCTTGTAGAGACACATTCAAACAACAAGGTACCCTCACCGTTTCCTGCATCTACTTATATAAAATAATAATGATAATAATAATAATAATAATCTTTATTATTCCCAGGAGCAAGGGAAAGTCCAAAGATGAAGTCAATTACGTAAGATACGGGGGTGCTTTCGTAAAAATTGCGACAAGGAAAAATATGAATAGTTAGTGAATTGGGCGCCCTGATTCCGAATCTGATGTGATTTTCGACCTATTTTGTCTCCTAATATAATTTTCCGGAAATTGGGGTGGTTCCATGGCTGTTGGTGAGCAGTGTATATCACTGAATGAAAAACAGTGAATTCTCATTTTTCCGAGTATTTGTAGAATTAAGGTGATAAAAACTATGCGAACCATGTAAGGTGAGTCTTTTGAATTTGCGTGAATTTCACAAACAAACGTGGTGTGCTTTGGTAGAACCAGTAGAACGAATACCTACCTAGTTGAATTTGACAAGACGATGGGATGTCAGATTATTACGCCATCCTACTGTCATTATTACTCTTATTACTCGATTCATCACAATAATATTTGTCATTAAATGTTGAAAATCGAGTAAGCAATGTATGTTCATTATTCCAAATTTTTGGGATTCTCTCTCCTCGTTTCTATAAAATAAAAATATGAATATTATTTCAATATACGTGTAGTAAGGACAAATCAGAGGATTTGCCCCAAAATGTCACTGCGTTTAAAGAATTTTCCTATCAGAGAGCCTAAAAGAAAAGTTCACTAGCTTGTCAGTGACAATTTTTATTGAAAAGTTTTTGGAGAAGAGAAATAAAGGTATATAGAAAAAATATCAAATTTTCACTTATCTTTGGACGTTTCGGGACCGATTCTGCTCCCGTTTTCAACATGAAGAGATTTTTTCAATTGCGAAGTCGTATAATATGTCTTGAAGCTTTTCAGTTTTCAATGACAATTGGTGACGTTGGAAATCAAAAGAGTTACAGGATGTTTTCATTAAAATCGAAACTAGCTGAACATATCCTTACTGAAGACGGACAACATATGGCAGAGTGGAATAATATTGAAATCATTGGAAAAGAAGATAACAACCAGAAGAGAAAAATCAAGGAATCTGCTTGCATTCTTCTGAACGGAGACAATAGCATTGCTTCTTGTTCAGTTGATATAGAAAGAACATGGTATTCACTACTAAAATCTGAACATGAAAATGGTAAATTCAAGATTAATTAATGAAAACATTCTGTAACTCCTTTGATTTCCAACGTCACCAATTGTCATTGAAAATTGAAAAGCTTCAAGACATATTATACGACTTCGCAATTGAAAAAATCTCTTCATGTTGAAAACGGGAGCAGAATCGGTCCCGAAACGTCCAAAGATAAGTGAAAATTTGATATTTTTTCTATATACCTTTATTTCTCTTCTCCAAAAATTTTTCAATACAAATTGTCACTGACAAGCTAGTGAATTTTTCTTTTAGGCTCTCTGATAGGAAAATTCTTTAAACGCAGTGACATTTTGGGGCAAATCATCTGATTTGTCCTTACTACACGTATATTGAAATAATATTCATATTTTTATTTTATAGAAACGAGGAGAGAAAATCCCAAAAATTTGGAATAATGAATGTACCACCTCCTCGATTAACCTACAGACAGTATTCAAGCAATGTATGAATGATAGATAGATAGATAAAAGAATAAACCCACTTACAGCATTTTGTATCATCATGGACCGCTGCTCCCGCATCGTGCGCACAATCTCCAACGGATACACCGGTTGCCCCGCCTCCATTAGGCACAGCGCAGTCTCCATGAGCACCAGCACGCCCGTCCTACCGATCCCCGCACTGCAATGGACGACGACGGGCGCGTCTGGGCGTGACCGCGCTTTGCGCACCCGTTCCGTAAACAGCAAGAAGAGGCGCGGCGAGTCGGGTACTCCGTGGTCTGGCCAGGCCAAATATTGCATGTGTCTTATCTCGCGAGACTGATCCGTCTGCAAAAGAAACATTCCACTATCATATAACATATAACCATGCAAACATCGAACATGTTGGTCCTTCGAGCCGTATCCATTCAAACCAAATCTTCAAGACTGCCAAGTTCCTCTTGATACAGAGTTGCACTCATCAAAACTACCTGGAGTAACAGTGAATGCCAAGGAGCTTGAGCCTTCACAGGGTAGCAACAAGCAGTTCAAGCAAACATCGTCCTGATCACCATTTTGTCTTTATGGGATTTCAAAGGATTTTAATTTTTCATGCTTTCTTTTCGGATGTTCAACAGATATAATTCAATGTTCGGCGTGACAAATAGCCAGGAAAGTAGTTGATGTTGTTTTCTGTCAAATATTAAGAATGATGTTATGTGCAAATACATATTTTTATCTGAAGGAGAATGCAAATTCTCAACTTCAGAAGATTTAGTTTTCAAATTCTTATCGTGTGTGTTCAATAGATATAATTCAATGTTCGTCGTGGCACATAGCCAGGAAAAGTAGTTGTTTTCTGTTGAATAAACCGAGAAGGAGTTGATATTATTATCACATAGAGAATGCGAATTCTCAATGTATTTCTTCATATGTATATCCTATTTTCAATTTTTTTATGTTCATAATTTATCTGAGAATATTGCTTTTCAAATCAATTTCTGTTTGTATCTGAATTTTTTATTGAAATTGTATGCAAACAAAAGTGTAAGTAGAATCGATGATAATGTTTTACTTGCATATTACCAAGAAGTATCTGTAAAGATGAAGCTCTCATCTTTGTGGGCAATTTATTCTGTGCTAAGAAGGAAGACCATAAACGTGAGACAATATTAATTTGACCTTTGCAAATCGAAGAGTTGTTATCTTCTACATCAGATGAAAACTTCTTCCACAAGGGTAAGCAAGCAAGCAAGCCATTCCAATAGGAAATCCATGTATCCAGTGAACAGATTTTTTTCCAAGCAGCATAACTGAGATATTGGCTACCTGAAAAGATCTGCGACACCCGGTATAACAGTTTGGTACTTGTATTGCCCTCTATAGAATAAGAGATTGTCATTTGTTGTAAACATGACGACGTGTTGTTGAAACATAAGATTCATCAATGAAATCAATAAATAAAGGAGGATTGCAATATGTTTCTCAGTTCTAATATTAACCTTGATTTTATTATTATATGACATATAACCATACAAATACAGTACACTATCTATCAAGCATCGAACTTATTGGTCTTTCGAGCCGGAACTATTCAAATCAAATCTTCAAGACTGCCAAGGTCTTCGCAAAGGATACAAAGCAGCACTCATTAAGACTACCTGGAGTAACAGTGAACGTCAAGCAGCTGGAGCTTACACATGTAGGAACAAGCAGTTCATTCGGAATATGGGTAATTATTCAGTATGTTTTTGATGTTGAGGTATGTATCTTGTTTAAGTAAGGAGTTGACGTGATTTGTCAGAGTTTTTGGGAAATATAGACGTTCACATTGATATCTATTTAGGCATCCGGTATAGGTACAAAAAACAAAGGTATAGAAAACACGACCGAACATTCAACAAATTAGCAGAGCTTCAAAACAAACACACACACATTCTCTCACACACGAAAAATGCGATAATATAGTCACTCAACTGTACGAAGAATTTGAATTTCTCAATTGTAAATATTAGGCAAGTTCGTTTGTGCTTGCTCTGCCTGCTGAACATGATTTTTTTCCATGATTCTGTGTTTACATCATACCCTGAACAACAATGAAAAAAAAAAGAACTTCAGCAAGTTCAGAAATACAAACGGGGAGAGGACTATTAACAGTGTTTTGAGCCACTGGAATGGACTGTACGCAATGAAATTGTAAAAGATACTGAGTAGTGCATGGCTGGATTCACCATCCTAATGACTAAAATTAGTCACATCATCCTTGCCGAACAAGTATTTTATCTTTTACTATTGTACAGGGTGATTCACCATAAATGTCCCCCCCTCTAGCTCACTTATTTTTGAACCGTTTTAAAAATTTGAAAGATAATCTAAAATGATTTTTCAGCATTTTTTTTCCGTTGCATCAGAAAATACAGGGTGCTCAAAACAAACGATCTACAGAGTACTAATTGATTTTTTTAAATGGAACACCCTGTATTTTATTGTATTTTTTAGATTCTTCCTGAAGAGCTGATTTCATCAATGTATCACACTTGGGGTTTAGCGGGAATGATTACAGAGATTTTCCAACTTTAGGATTTTTTTGTGCCGAAACTATTTATTTTTGGTCAAAACGGCTTCTATGTTCCCATCTCAGCTTTTGATTTACTATCTAGTGAAATTTAATTGGAACATTTACAGGGTGGTTCAAGATTCAGAATTCTGGTCACCCTGTATCTGTTCCAATTATTAAATGTCAGTAGATAGTAAATCAAAAGTTAAGATACGGACATGAAAACCGCGTGACCGATAATGAATAGTTTCGTCACAAAAAATCCTGAAGTTAAAAATCTCGATTTTGAACACCCTATATCTCTGTAATCAGTCCCGCTAGACCCCAAGTGTGATACATTGATCAAATCAGCTCTTCAGGGAGAATCTAAAAATACAATGAAAAATAGGGTGTTTCATTTAAAAAAATCAAATAGTACCCTGTGGATCGTTTTTTCCGAGCACCCTGTATTTTCTGATCTAGCGGAAAAAAACTTTATCGAAAATCATTCAAGATGATATTTCAAATTTTAAAATCGGTTCAAAAATAACTGAGCTAGAGGGGGGGACATTTATGGTGAATCACCCTGTACAGTGAGTACATTGGGTGGTGAGATGAATTTAGCAGTGTCAGTGGTCAATAGTATCGAGGTTTTTGAAGGAACTTGGTTTCAAAAGTGCAACCCATAATGCTTCACATAACTCTGTGTCAGTCAGAACCAAGACCCAAAAAACAAAGCTCTTCGACCCATCAGTCTCTTCTCTGACGCTCCTAACCTCGACGTTGACGAAAGACATTGCTTCCCCCACTTCAGGCCAATATTTGTGTCACTTGGCCCTGCCCCTGTTCACTATCGTCGTCAATATTACGATCAGATCGCACTCTTTCTCTAACATCTTATGCTCTGCTAGAAGTCTTCGGTGGTCAGGGCTGTTATTTCCATATAAAATATATCCGCGAAGATTCATCTCTTCCATATTAGTTTTATTCAGGGCGGGGCAACACAAAGAACACACATATAATGAGTTATTTTTTTGAACCTCTTGAATCGAACTTACGTGATGGAATCGAAAATGCGACTGAGTAGTGCATCGCTTGATGTTTGATTCACCATCCTAATGACTAAAATTAGTTAAATCATCCTTCTATCCAATCAATTTCCGAAATAGAATTCCATCTGCGGTTGGATAAGTTTGATATACAATGGTCAGAACATTCTATTTTCGGTTAACAAAACCTAACAGAAACACTACAGGGTGAAAAATGGAAATGTGCAAAGCAAACTGAAAGGTCTCCCGCTAGTAGACATTTTTTTTTCATCTAAATGTTGTTGAATACATATTAATTTATTGTGTTTAGTCTATACTGTGGATCGTGTCCTTACGGCACGTGAGATGGCATTGTCGTGGGTCTACGGGGTTCTAGGGAAGATTGACATTTTGTTTAGATATAGTCATATTAAATCCAAATTTGAAGAAGACATAGAGGTGCAATTCCTGAAAAAAATAGTGTACGAACCAAAAATGTTTCACATACCTCTTTGTCAGTCAGAACGAAGTCCCTAAAAACGAAACTCTCCGACTCATCAGTCTCTTCTCTGACGCTCCTAACCTCGACGTTGACGAAAGACATCGCTTCCCCCACTTCAGGCCAATATTTGTGACACTTGGCCCTCCCCCTTTCCACTATCGTCGTCAACATGACAATTAGATCGCACTCTTCTTCAAGAATCATCTGCCAGAAGTCTTCGGCGGTGGAGGGCAAAGGCCCCTGGGTGGCTATGTACACGTTGGAGGTGTCGGTGGTGGGGATAGACATCGTCACGAAGTTGGCGTTGATGTAGTCGCCGTTAGGGGCGTTTTTGAGTACGACTCTCGAACAGTCGTCTGCAGAAATCGCGAGGATTAGAAGCGAGCGGACTTATACAGGGTGTTTCTCAAGTACGTGTAGAAAATTCAGGAGCATGTTGCTGACGTCTAAATAAGAAGAAAAGTTCGTATCAACATATGTCCGAAAGTTATCCGTTTCTGAGATACGGAGTGTCAAAGTTGGATTCTTATTTTTGGTTTTTGTTAATAAATTTCAAAATAATAGATATTGGAATGAAATTTGGAAATTTGGTATCTAGGGGTATTTTCCAATGACAATATCAAATTTTATGTTAGTTTGTCTCTGTCGTGGGGGTGGCGCCACCTACATGTCTTTTGAGTCTTTTGAAGTGATAACTTTTTTGTGCATACCTGTATAACGTTTCATAGCAGAAAAATAGATTTCTAGAATACTTTTGTGTAAAAAATATATTCCGCTTAAGGGTCGCTGCGAGCAACTGGTCACGAGTTATTGGGATTCGAAATAATCGATGCATTAGAATGATTTCTCTCTCCTCACTCCTTTATAAAAAATAATAATCAAGTGAGTACTCATTATGATATTTCGATCCGTTCTTGTGACAGTGAAGTCAGATCATTATTAGTATTGTAATAACACCAGATTCCTATTTTTCAATGGGATTGAAGAAAAATAATTTTCATTAATTAATAAATCAATTTTGAATTCCAACTTCTTGTCGATAACTCGAAAACACTTGCTCGCAGCGACCTCTACTAGGAATATATTTTTTACACAAAAATGTTCTAGAAATTATTTTTTTTACTATGAAACTTCATACAGGTACGCACAAAAAAGTTATGACTTTTCAAAAGACTCAAAAAGACATGTAGGTGGCGCCACCGCCACGAAAGAGACAAACTAACATAAAATTTGATATTGTCTTTGAAAAATACCACTAGATACCAAATTTCATTCCAATATCACATTTTTTTTAAAATTTATTAACAAAAAACAAAAATAAGAATTCTACTTTGACATATGTTTGTACGAACTTTTCTTCTTATTTAGACGTCAGCAACATGCTCCTGAATTTTCTACACGTACTCAAGAAACACCCTGTATATTTTATTCTTGATTATTTACAGTAACAAGATGATCCAACTTCATGTAAAATGGTGAAGCCAAATTTGACCTTAGTTCTTGGCTGGTTCGTAGGCGGCGCCAGTGAAACACAGCAAAATATTGTCACAAATAAGTATTTATTCCAAAATTATAATCGAAATCATTGATTCAATATTTTCATAATTTCCAAATCGTGCTTCTTCACATCGCCCCGGAAGTTTATAAGCATTTGGAATACGTTCTGGCATTGGATCATCAACAACCTGTACGACTGAGTAACCTCCAACAGCAACGTACCGAGAATTACTTAAACAATAACAGTACTTGATATTTCAGATAAATATAGATTTGTGGATATTCCAGGAGGCAGTTGATGATCGGTATTCGGATAGTTGCTGTCGGTGGTGTAAACTGTTGATTTTGTAAAATCACGTTAATCAGTTAAGTTAGGTCTTTGTGCGCTCTACTCAAATTGTATGTCGCATTTATAATGATTCCTCTTCTATAAGATGCTAATCTCATGAATGTATCTATGTTTTGAATATGGTTTTTACTACTTCACATATCACTTAACTATTAGTGTCTTCAGTTTATATAATCTACCCTATCATAGCTATCCTCAAAGATGATCCAGTGGACTTATTCCATCAGGAAGCCAAGGATCGTGACAATATGGTCGATTTGTCTACAGCGTGTCAGACTTCTAATGCCCCCCTCTATATCTCAGCTATAAGTCGTGCGATTCTAACCACATTTGGACTGGTATGAATAACCATTAATATGATCAGTTTTTCAGAGTCGAACATCATTATGGATAAAATTATGGTTTTAAAGGAAAAACAGGATATAAATATTTTCATTGAAAGCACTGTTTTGAAACCTTTCATAGAAATCATATGAAAATCCATTTATGTGAGTTTGAAATCATGAAGAACAATATCATAAGGTAAGTTTTTGTGTAAAATTTCTTCTGCCACTTCTGCAATAGCAGCTAATGCTGATAATTGATTGGAAATGTCTACGACACACACGATCATATTGACAAATTTCAAAATGAAATCGATATGTGAGTGACTATAGTAGGTCTCTTGCTGCATTTTTTGTGCATTGTACAACAGCACAATGTGATGGCATGTACGAATTAATGAATAACCGAAAAACAAGATTATTATACCAAAATGATAGTGAAAAACTATTTCAATCATTTGTAAACAAATAAGAAAAGTGAGGTTTTGTTTGAATGTTTCACCTCCAGGATCGACCATCTGACAGTTCTTGCACGCAACCCTTTGCATCTTACCTACATTTTTGAGGTTATTCAAATATTCGAAAACTCACATGGCAATATGTCCCTGTATCTGTTCTTGTTGATGTTGTGCGGCTTGCAAGACTCGTCGCACGTCAACTCCGGATGTTTCCTGTGGTGAAAGAAAATTAACCTCTAGTGATATGTAATCTACAAGGTGTTCTATAAATACCTGTAAAGCGTCTCGTAGCGCGCAATCAGTGCACCGCTGGCCAGCCCGTCAGCTAGAAGAAGCATGCTCTGCTTCAGCGCGTCGCCGGGAGAGGGCGGATCCTGACCGCCCGCGGGCACGTACTGGTAAGGCGGCTCCTCGAATTCCGCCGAAAGGCGATAAGAGGCCGCCGGTTTGGTCACCAGGACCAGTTTACCTAAGGAAAAACGGCCTCTCAACTCGCGAACACTCCAATTCATCTCCCACTTTCTTCAAATATTCGAAAAAACTTCTGTCCTCATTCGAGGACGCTAAGATATAGCGGTTTGAATATAGGAAGATATAATAATATGAACTCTCCTTCAACTTTATTCTAATATTCGAAAAAAAAAAACGAATTTCCTCATTCGAGGACCCTGGGATATAGCGGTTCAAATATTGGAAGATTGGCGGCCGGTTTAGTCACTAGGACCTGTTTACCTAAGGAAAAACGGTTTCTTAAACCATTAACGCTCCAAGTAATCTCCCAACTTCCTTCGAATATTCGAAAAAACTACTGTCCTCACTCGAGGACACTGGGACAGCGGTTCAAATATTGGAAGATAAAATAATTTTAACCCCCTAACACTCCAATTCTCCTTCAACTTTCTTCATAATTCGGTAAAAACGACTGTCCTCAGTCGAGGATGCTGGGACATAGCGGTTCGAATATTGGAAGATATTATATATAATAAAAATATATAATTTGAAAAAAATATACATATTTCAAATTTCATTCAAATGTGGTATTGAAATTGAAGAATATAACCTCAGGATTCCAATGAATTCAGTAATAAGGTTGATGAATATACCATGAATAAGGACTTAAAGAATTGGATAATGTCTCATCTCCAATATTATTTTTGTTAATTCTAGTGAGACTCACAATCGAATTCATCTCCAACTTTTTTCAAATATTCATAAAAAACTACTGTCCTCGTTCGAGGACGCTGGGACATAGCGGTTTTAATATAGAAAGTTATAATAATTTTACCGGTTTGGTCACCAGGACCAGTTTACCTATGGACAACAGTTTTTCTGTGACTAGGGATATGTTCGGAGTAGATAGGAAGTTAATATTCGAAAAGTCCCCGAACTTACTATGTGAGCCAAGTACAGGGGGCGACGTAGAAGATTCCTATCAGCGAAAAAGTCAATCGATTCAAAATTGTAACCACAAAAATGTATCAGTAGACAATTTTGTCAGCTACAATTTTGAATTGATAAACTTTTTTGCTGTGACGTACCGTTTTTGAGATATGAACAATAAATCCAAATGAGAGACCTTCGACGCCGCTTCCTGCACTTTGCCCACCTCGTAAGTTCGAGGACTTTTGGAATTATCACTTCCTATCTACTCCGAAAATATCCCTAATCTTAAAAAATCTGTCCTCTTTCATGTCCCCTACAACCCGTTCAGTGACTGAACTACTTGGAAATAATGAAGTGAAACCGACCAGTATTTCGATCACTTTCGGGCTGAATTAGGGTTCGGTCCAAAACAGAATTACGAATGACTGGATTTTTAGATATGTGGTTTATTTATTCGGTGTTGGCGCAATTATGCACAATGATTCTGACATGCGAAAGATATCTCAGCTCGAATCTACAAGGAAGAAATGTAGTTAGCCTATATCATCAACAACTAAACTGAAGTATTTCGCTCAAATACGGTACGATATATTATATAACCTCATTTAGTTTGTTACAATAAATAATAAATTCTCTCACCTACAGACCAGGCAGCAAAATTGGCAATCCAATGCAATTTTCGCGTGACTTCCAAAAGGTTCTATAGACACGAACCAGATATCTCATCTATTTATCAGGAAAATAAATCGGTATCTAAACGTTTTTTCCTGGTTTTCTGTAATAATCCCCACGAAATAACAACTAATTCATAGTGGAAGGAGAAGATGGTGTGCCTACGCGCATATTATGTGACGTCATCTGGGATACCCATATCAGCTGCAAGTCACAGACATTACCGTTGCCATGGGCGTGCGCAATGAATTTAATCACGTTTATTGAAATTTCTATGAGTTTCTCGATCTGTTTAGAAATAATTCAATTTATATAAACAGGTACCTATTCCTTCGATTTTACTATTCCATTGATTCTGGAAATTGTGACGTTGAGGTAATTCACAATCGCAAATAGCAAAAACATACGAATTATCATGCATTGCCAATCCCATCTGAATGATCCACTACTGTGTCCATTCTGACAGATTAAAATTCAGCAGTTAACGACGTTGACGTTGCTTCTGAACGAAAACGAAAACGAACGAAACGAAACAAGTGGGCATTTCGAAATTATTTCATACAATTTTAGTACTTATATAATATCTGAAGTTCGAGACATCAATCACGAAAACAAATAATACCAATGACAGTTATATCCAAGCTGACGTCATGCGCAGAACAAGACGAGTTTGAGCTTTCTGTTGAGCACACTATCTTCTCCTTCCACTATGAACTAATTGCAACAAAAGGACATCGTACCTCCATCTACCGAGCGGAGGTACAACCACTAACTAGACCAACACAGGCACCTGTTACCGGCCTAACCCACAGATTTTTATAGCGCCGGATTTACCGTGAAAGGTAGATATCATAATATACCGAATGTATTTACTATTCAGACTTATTAATAGATAAACATGCCGAACATGGATGTCGCGGCATGGCTTATTTTACCATAAGTCACATAAGGCGTGTGAAGGGGGGCCGGGAAAAAGTCTGAAAAAAATTATTATTAACTATTCCAATTCAGATTTGATTAACGAAATAAGCCGTATCTGATGAATGAAATTCAATAAAATTAGATTTTGATTAGTATTAGAGTGATTTTGAAATACAGTGTCCCATAAACTTTTTATGAGATTCATTGTGATGATATTGATTTCTTTCTGTTATCCATGAACCATCGTAATTTTTCTTTACTACGTTTCATCATGTTTTCAGCTGTTCAGAGATTCTGAAAGCTCTTATTTCAACCCAGTTTTAGCCATCATCAATTGTTATCGAAATTCCAAATGAAAAATATTATCTTTTCATTAGTAATTTTTCATTTTGTTCGTTGTTCCTCAAGCAAAAGCAGAACTGCCTTTCATTACTTGTTGTTGTGTTATTTGTTTTAGTATTCATAAATTATTATCGGGTTCTTGCTGGTTTTTTTGCACTCCCTGATTCATATTTATGATGAATATAATTATTATATTATACCCATGTATAAGTAGGTACATAATGCACTTTCTTGGTATGTGTCTACGCACCAACTGGCTATTGACATTACGAGAGTTTCTTTAGTACATTTGTGTTATTTGTAGACTTGTTACTGACTCCATACGCCACCTTGAACGCTGCAATGTTGATTGGAACGCAACAGTATGAAAATGTATAACTCGTTCTTCAAAAAAAATTCTCTGCCTTGTCGGGTTGGATCCAGAAATTTTTTGATGTCCTATTCCGCCGTCCCATTTATCAATTAATGGATTTGAAATTAACCTTCTATCAATTTTTTTTTCATCATTAAACAACAACAAGAAAATTGAAGTTTCCAAAAATGAGCAGGAAAATTCTTATTGGAAAGTCATAGAATATTGGGGGCCCGCAATTTTTCTCGGGCCTTGGGCCCAACTGAATCAAAAATAGGCCCTGCGTCGCAGAAAAAATAACTACAGAGAAACGTACAACTCGAGACACTTTGTTATCAGGCCTATAACGAAATATAGGTTTCGCTACAGAAGATGAAGATGAAAAATACCTGAACTGATCCCTCTGGCATCCTGAATCAAATTGACCACCTCCTGATGAAGGGCGTGCGAAACGTCGTGCCCGTTGATTTGCATTAATTGATCGCCTTCACATAATCTCGGTACGCATTTGTCCGCCGGCGTGTTCGGAGCCACTCTCGACACCAGTATCGGCACGTTCGGGTCATTTCCACCTGGAAATATGAGATTTCAGAAACACAAAAAGAAATCTTGAATGAGAAATGTACGAAATTCATCTCCACAGCTTTTTGATTTGATCATTAACTGATTTGTGTTCGAGCTTCATCCATTTTCCGCCCCAAGTTATCACAGTTAATAATAATAATCCAATTTATTGATTAACAAGGACCGGTCGATGTTGTAATTGAATAAAACAAGCTGTGTGTGAGATAACGATTTTTTTATTTTATTTGAAAGGCCCATTTATGCCATTATTTATGGAATATGACATCATTCAAATGTCCACCGCGGCTTCGAACGGTGGCACGGATCCGAGAGGTCCAATTTTCAATGATTCTGCTGCATAAATCCGGCTGAATCTGAGCAATGGCTTGCGTTATGTTCACTTTCATGGCATCGGTCGATTGCGGGTTATTAACATAGACCTGCGATTTCAGAAACTATACAGAGGGCTAAATGGGATGGGCCCATCATCCTTATTCATCACTCTATTACTATTCTTAAATATCTCTAAGCTTTCATATGCATGACTGCTAAACTGATTTGAGGTTATTGATATGTGTTTTATGATTGTGATTGAACATGTGTTCGGCTACACACGAATTATCTAATCTACCATATTTCGAATGTACTAAGTGTTCTTTGAACTTTGTTTTTATGGGACGCCTGGTTTGGCCTCTATAATTTTTTTTGTCATAATCATTACAACTAATTCCGTATATCCTTGACTTTTCAAGTGTGTCTACTTTATCATTTGGATTACCTAATAAATTATCTAACTTTGACCCAGACTGATAAACGCTTTCAAAACCTAAGTCTTTGAAAACCTTTATCAAGTCCTCTTGTGTACTTGGGGTTGAAAGGGATTGGGATTTTTCTCCGATTGTTTTTATCCGCTTGGAAAGTCGTAGAATTCCTGAGTGATAACTTAAATTTATGTCTACATATTAATTTATCTACTATTTTGATATCATAACCATTGACGCCAACCACTTTATAAACAACACTCCTTTCAATATCAAATCTTTGTTTGCTCAAAGGAAATGAAAACTAGTCTATGTACTAGGGAATTTAAACTTGCCATTTTGTGTTGAAAACAGTGATTGGAGTCATTAGTTATGTATCGAAGTGTGTTAGTTTCTAATCTAAAAACATCAAATTATAAATTATTTTCGCAAGAACATCTAAGAATGGTAATTGACCATTGTTTTCGCATTCAAAAGTGAATTTGCTATAGGGGAAGCAATTATTCAATTATGAATATACCAGAACTTGTTTTCTGACTAGAAGCATTATTTTCAATAAATAATAAACGCAATATCTCGATAACATGAAGAAAGCAACCATAGCAATAGTGACCGGTATGCAGAAAAGTACTAGATAAATAGATGAAAAAATCGGGAACTGACAATACTCGAACGTATATGACATTTAATTCAATGGATTGTCAAATTGAAAACTTGAGAGAATGATAAGTTGCAAGTTTGACCTATTTCTAACTACAAAAATACTGGAAATTATTACGAAATATCAAATATTCATACAAATTATTCATCGTTGGTTCAATTGTTGAGCAGTTTATTTGATTCTCCATAGACATGAGACGAGAGCACACGTAAACATTGAACTTTTTTTAACTCCCACCATATATACCTGCGATATTATTAGTCATAGATAAACTATTACTTGTTCGGGTTTTAATCGGCTGAGGTGACGTAACAATTAGTCATTGAGGTGATGAATCGAGAGCCAGCCATTAGTCTGGCATTATGTTTCATCGTGTACGGTCGATGCAATTGGTTGAAAAGAATTATCGGACAAAATAAAGTTCCTCACCAACAAAGAACATGGATACTACTACAAAAGTTACTCGTTCAGTTTTCATTGGTGAATTTGTGTGGGTGTGTGTGTTGTGTGTGTTTAGTGTGAAATTTAAATGTTTAGCTGTGAAAAATTCCAACATTGTGTAAATGTCGTGACACAATGTAGAGGAATAGAGAATAAGGAATAAAAAATAAGAAATGCAGGTCTGCTATTGGTTAATTCTAACCTTGAACGCGTTTGACACCAATCACAGTGCTATTCCTTATTTTTCATCATTGTGTTTGGACCTTAAGAGTGCTGAAGAATTATTCGGTAGGTTGTCCCTATCGAATTCCTTAATGTAATTGACACTTTAGTTCTGACGTTTTTGCATATTTAGAGTACGGCGGACAAGCACTAATTATATCGCCAACCTAATCGTAGTGAGAAATGTCATTTGTCGTGTTTCTTGTTATCAAGAGTATTTTTGGCTGTTGCGTGAATAATTTCCGATGTTTCAGTAATTCTTTCAACATTATGAATCAATTTATTTTCAATCTGAAAAAAATATGGTTCGCCAGTGTCAAATCAGTAAAGTTAATTACTTATCCTAAACTGATATTTGACAGGTACGTGAAAATGTATTCCAGTGGTGTTCTTGTTTGATGGCTCAATTTCATTGATGAATAGCATATTTGAAATACCGAAATCTTCAAATAACCTTTAATTATTTATGTAACAACACGTGCGGGTTAATTTATTGATGCACATTCACACATTTATAGAAATACCGACTTATTAGACAAATAAAATATATCTATGAAGAATATCAATTATCTGGCAAAGATTCCTCGGAGTTGTCCCCACCATTCGCGATTTCATTCATTCATCTGTGTTCGGAGTTTAGGATTGTTGGTGTATACTTTTTAATGATTTTATGAATGCATTGCGGTGTGTATCTATTTTTTATATAGTCTGCGCACTTATCTGCAAATGTACAAGTAGACTCAAATAAGGGGTTAAGTACCAGATACAGGAGTTTGGAGTTTTTTTTCTCCATAAAAAAAAGTTGAATACTAAACACCATGTCCCTTGGAAGGGGCTAAGTTCCAATCGAATATTTCTTTCACGTAATCAGCTACACTTATGAAAATCCCAAACGTCGTTTCCTATTGAAAGGGAAAAAGTGCCATCGTCTATTTCGCAGTGTTTGTTGTCTTGGAAATATTTTGTTTGTGCATTTTTGCGTTGTATAAACAATAGAATAATATAGAAAACGATAGTACTATGAAAAAAAAATGGCATAGGAGTTGATTTTAAGGTGCAACAAAAACTCCGGTAAGGAATATGTGTCTAGTAAAGGAAAAATGTCTCGACCCCAGACCTAATGTAGCTAAATATCAAAAATTTACGTGCTACGATTTCTTATATTCATTTACCAGAGCACCGGGAGTTCGACCCCACCATTCGCGATTTCATTCTTTCAACCGTGTTTGTCGTTTAGGATTGTTGGTGTTCAATTTTCAATGATTTATGAATGAATCGCGGTGTCTATCTATTGCTATTTAGTCTGAGCACTTACCTGCAAATGTACAAGTGTCTGTTATTATCCCCACCATTCGCGTTCGTTCATTTTTCCGTGTTTGGCGTTTAGAATTGTTTGGGCGTATACTTTCCAATGATTTATGAATGAATCGCGGTATCTATCTACTGTTATTTAGTCTAAGCACTGACCCGCAAACGTACAAGTGACTGCTATTATCCCCACCATTCGCGATTTCATTCATTCATATGGATGTGGCGTTTAAGATTGTTGGCGTATAATTTTCAATGATTGATGAATGAATCTCTCCTCCTTGAGAAATTTCATTCATTGTTGTATTTCCTTTGATAGGAAACAATATACCTCGTTTTTAACGATCTTTAACGGCCTGTAAGCAAATACTAGTGCATGTTTCGAGGTGAATTTTTCGAGAAAATCTTATCGTCCGAATGTGACAAAGTGACACTGACCTTTCACATTGAATCCATATTTTCCCTCTTCGTCCGGATGGAGGACGATGGTGACCGAAACGTCGTCGGCCAGCTGCGAAGTCGGCGATTGGCTGACGCTGTAGGGGGGCGTGTAGTAGAGACCGTTAGAGGTGGGGGAGGGCGGATCCTCGTCCGCGTAGCTGATGACGCGCGCCGCCAGGCCGGGCGAGAACGGACCCTCGAGGGTCTTCTCCAGGAAGCCGCCGTCGCTGCGAGAGAGAAGAAGAATGGATCTGAGTTAGTTTTTCTTCAAGTGAACTGAGAAATCACCATCATTCAAGGATTTTCTCTAATGGGAAGTAACACTTTTTTTTCTGCAACTGACACAAAAGTCATCCATTCTAATACCAAGATTAGCTCTTGAATTGACGTTTCAATTACTGACACAAAAAAAGGTATGTTACTAGGCAACACATTTAGTTCCTAGGAGCTAAAGTCGAACTTTAGCTCCTAGGAACTAAAAAGGATCTACTGGACGTTGTCAAGAATAAAGAACATTGTGTCGGTTGGTTATTTGGGTTGAGACGCATACCTGATTTGTTTCCGATTTCAGCAGATTTGGCATTTCATACCCATGCTGGAGACATAAATACACCTTAGTATAGTCTTTGAGTATTCACACTAGTGTATACAATCAAGGGTATAGTTGAGTATGTTTGTTTTGATCAGGAAAGCCTTCAAGATTCACATACTTGCTTGATTTGTATTTCATTCGTTAATCTCGGGATGGATAACTTGTTTTTGAATAATCACGGCCAGCAATAGTTTTTTGTCTCAAACAACGATATGGTTCACCTACATTTGATTATCAAGCAAAACACAGTGGAGTATGGAGAGAAATAAATAATGGCTATTATTATTGACCTATCCAAGATGCTGTCAAACCATCAAAATCAATATGGCCGACTGTAGGCACACATACTTTCGTGTCGCAATATCTTTGTTATAGCGGTCCAAGGACAATAAATATCCACTTTTATTCAAAACAGCCATTATTATTATTTGATGTATCTACCTGAACGTACGTAAATCAACAAAAAATACTTGTGTGCCTACAGGCGGCCATTAGAAATATGTCAAAAGTCACGTGTTCTGGAATGCCTAATAATTGTTGATATACTCCTTAACCTAACATTCTCCACGTCTTGTTCCTATCCTGGCACTGGCGCGGTATTTGCCATTAGAGCATCTGGTCCATACACAAATATGTCCATCTGTTGTTGTATTTATATTGAAACTACAATTTGAACATCCTTGAAAATTGAATGAACCTGCTGTTAATGCAGGTTGAATATTCTCACCACACGGATTATTTGTTGCATTGCATACATATGGCATGGATTGGTGGTTACTTCACATATTTATTCGAGTTAATTGTATCGGTTGCAGAAAAAATAGCATGTTTCATTCGGATCAAAAGTGACTTTGTTTGACAAGCGAATTTTGCATTTGCGAGGCGAAGCCGAGCGAAAGCAAGATTTGCAACACCTATTTTATTTTTTCAATCCAAAACCGTTTGTCTAACGAAAAAAAGTCGAGAGGTTCTTTTTGTTAGCAACTAATAAGAGATTACAAAACCGATTTTTATTTTGATAAAAAACAGTGGCGTGCCATCTGTAAATGCAATAAAATTATATTTTGGTCAATATCAACGGTTCAAAATAAGGTAGATGATGAATTATTTTCATAAAATTATAGAGAAATGTATCCTCTTTTGAAACATTTAAAAATTAATATACCAATAATTTTTAACTAAAAAATTTGCTAACATTTCAGTTAACGCCATCTTGCGGCGAAAGCAAAAGTCAAAAATTCAAAACCAAATAAGCGTTGTTGGGCAAATTATGCTCTTCCATATGAGCCTAAGTTTGCTAAAATCGGTCGAAATAAACGGGAGAAATCTTGGTTTTTAAAAAACAATTGAACTTCCCCCACTGCTTTATTTTGATAGATAGAACAAAACGTTTCAGACGAAAAATGTAGGGAAATGGTCAGTTAATATGAAAATGATCATCAATATACTTTCATTGAACAAAATTCTATAAAAATCCCATTTTTCTACTTGGTGTTGATTGTTACGCCCTCTAGCGGACATTTGACAAACTCGAAAATAATTTCCAGCGATTTCTCTTGGCGACTTTTATCATGATTTTTTTCTCTCAATTCTATACGACCAATATCTTATGAGATATGGCCGCTCGCTCAGTGATCAGTTAAGGGTACTGATCACCCTGTACATATAGGACAGAATGTGTTACTTATTAGTTATATTCCTCGTTACCGATTCAATACATTTATTTTTCTTGTTAAAATATGTACAATATATGTGTGTATAAGTAAAGTTCTATGTATAACATGTAAATAAAATAACGACGACGAAACAATAAAAACACGTTAAAATCCCCTGGGAATGCCTCCCGGCACCCAGAGGTTGGCCACGAATGGTCCGAGGGGGTCGAACTTTACACAACGCACCTGTTGGAAATGACGAGCAAGCTATGTCCTAGGACAGGGTCCTTTTCATAGCCAATGTCAGCGAGTTGCTCAGGGCGAGCGAGAATTCAAATGTTCGGATTGCTGCTATCATGATCTCTCTAATTTATCGTTAATTGATGCTTAGTGGAAAATAAAAGCAAAAACCACTATTCCGATAGTTCCAATGGGCTTCTACCATGGAGTGGGGGGGTAGGGGGTGGTTTGGGGATGGGTTAGGAGGAAGATGTAGGATTAACAGACTGATCATGTCGGGAAAAATTCGGAGCAAGTCCGAGTGTGTATCAAAAGATGGTGCTGAGGGCATTGCATACTCCGCCCTGTTGGGCTGGATGAAGTCGCAGGACGGTCAGTCCTCGGGCCGCCCGGACGACTTGCGAGATTTGGATTATTTATTTTATGGTAGGGTAGGTGTTAGGGTAGTCCCATGCAATGTATAGATTATAAAAGTTGGAAAAAGTGTGAAAGTATTGTATGTATTTATATCACACTGTAATCAAATCCTGATTAAAGATAGATATATTGCTTGAAAAAAATGTTCCTGATTTGATGTTTTAAAATTAAGAAGTCGTGAAGAAGACTTTGTGCTTGTCTCATTGAATATGAACCCTACAACTCCACTTTCAACTAAAATGGACTTCTAAAAAATGTTTTTCATCTTGTTAGTGTTAATAATCAAGGCTATTCCATAGTTGGTCTTTTCACTCACTCATCTGATATCCTTCTGTCCACGCTGTCTTCCGTCCATGCTTTTTTGGGCTCTTTGGTATCGAGCGAGGTGATTTTGTGCGCGTAAGGCCCCGGAGGTCTCGCTGGGGCGATCCCGATTTTCCCTTTGTCCTCCAACGAAGGAGGCGGACAAATCGTGTGCTTCACCTGAAGTATGTTACATCGACCATAAATCAGGGTTGGCAAATGTTATATTTATAGAGGGGGTCCCGAAATCGCTGGGACACAGAGCTACCACGTGTAATACAGTTAAATAAATAAATAAATATCTTTATTTTCCTTTAGACTTTCTAAAAAAAAGTATAGGAATAGTCAGGTTGTTACAAATATATAAATCTAAAACTAGATAAATGACAGATTACATAATATGATAGACGATCATTATATAAAAGAGAGAAACATGGTCATTTATGAAAATATTCGTTAAGCGAGTAGAAACACTTTTCTATGAGAAATGATTTCAAGCATTTTTTGAAAGAAGATACTTTTTTGCGTTTTTCAAATATTCAGGTAAGTTATTGAATATTCTAGGACCTAGGATATTTGGTGTATTACTCAAAATATTTGTTCTGCTTGGTTGAATATAGAATTCGTTCCTCGAGCGAGTATTCACATCATGTTTATCACTGTTGCGAGCAAACAGTTGCTTGTTAACAAATACATAGATACATAATTCAAATATAAGGAGGCAGGGCAGCGTTAATATCTTCAACCTTATGAAAAAAGGCTTGCAGGAATCCATTCTCTGAATGCCCATCATACTTCTTACAGCCTTTTTTTGAGCCAGAAAAATATCCTTCGCTGATGTAGATGACCCCCAGAAACATATACCATATCGGATACGTGAGTCCACTTGAGCAATAGAGACTGCACAATTGATTTAAATTTATAACATTATTTTTTTTCACAATGTATTCACAGTGCTTATTCCAGGTAAGACATTCATCAAGAAATACGCCTAAGAATTTAACAACCTCCTGATTCGTGTTTACGGTTGACTCACCAACCCTAAAGCTCAGATCATTACATTGTTTTTGTCTCGTATGGAATATAACTGATGAAGTCTTGCTGCTATTAAGAAACAAATCATTGTTTGCAAACCATTCCTGTAGAATAGGGAAAGTGTTGTCAATTTTGCCTATTAGTTCTTTCTCAGCCCTATCAGAGATCATTATCGAGGTATCATCAGCATAACAGGTGAGGGATGCTGGAACATTCAATTGATTTATATCATTCGTATAGAGGTTAAAAAGTATCGGAGCGAGGATGGACCCTTGCGGCACTCCCAGGGTTGAAAATAAGGATATTAGACTCAACTTATTTAAATGTAAAAACTTCACAGATTTACACAACATTCTCAAACACCGGACATGTTTCGCTAACACAGTAGCTTCGTCAGGTACTAGCACAGGGTGATTCACCATAAATGTCCCCCCCCTCAAGCTCAGTTATTTTCGAACCGATCGCAAAATTTCAAATATCATCTGAAATGATTTTCGATAGAGTTTTTTTCCGCTACATCAGAAATTACAAGGTGCTCGGAACAAACGATCTACATTCTACAGGGTACTATTTCATTTTTTTAAATGGAACACCCTATTTTTTATTGTATATTTAGATTTTCCCTGAAAAGCTGATTTCATCAATGTAGGTATCACACTTGGGGTCTAGCGAAGATGATTACAGAGATATAGGGTGTTCAAAATCGAGATTTTTCAACTTTAGGTTTTTTCTGTGACAAAACTATTCATTATCGGTCAAAACGGTTTTCATGTCCGTATCTTAACTTTTGATTTACTATCTACTGACATTCAATAATTGGAACAGATACAGGGTGATCAGAAATCTGAATCTTGAACCACACTGTATATGTTCCAATTAAATGTCAGTAGATAGGAAATCAAAAGTTGAGATAGAGACATTGAAACCGTTTCGAACAATAATGAATAGTTTCGACACAAAAGAATACTTAAGTTGAAAAATCTCGATTTTCAACACCCTATACCTCTGTAATCATTCCCGCTAGACCCCAAGTGTGATACATTGATGAAATCAGCTCTTCAGGGAGAATCTAAAAATACAATGAAATACAGGGTGTTCAAGCAGTACTCTGTAGATCGTTTTTTTCCGAGCACCCTGTAGTTTCTGATGCAACGGAAAAAAAAATACTGGAAAATCATTTTAGATGATTTTTCAAATTTTTAAATCGGTTCAAAAATAAGTGAGCTAGAGGGGGGGACATTTATGGCGAATCACCCTGTACAATGAACTGCATTGGCTTGCTTAACTTTTATATATCCTACTTTCCCAACTTGAAGGATCAGTTACCTGTGGACAGGTTGGATAAACCTCAATTATAGGAAATTAGGCACAATATCTACATTAAAATACGTTGTACCGGATTAACTTGAAAGGGTTGATTGATTGAGATTTCAGAATTTTTCAGTTTGTTGATTTCTAATGATTCAAAATGATTGAGTTTTATTCCCCTATTTTCTACGTGTAGAATTTTGAAATTATCATCAAAACTATGGTTCTCCTCTAATATATGGTTGACGTATGTTGAATTTGTTTTCTTTTTCAAAAAATTCATCTTATGTTCATGAATGCGCTCGAAATTCTGCACGTAGAAAATAAAGGACTGAAACTCAAACATTTTGAATCATCAGAAATCAACAAACTCAAAGATTTTGACATTTTACTTAATGATCAATTTGACTTCAATAGTTCACCACTGTTGAATTTGTTTTCTTAGTAAGTAATAATATGTATTTGCTATAAACTCTTTCAAGTTAATCCGGTATACCGTATTTTAATGTAGATATTGTGCCTAATTTCCGAAAATGGAGGTTTATTGTACCTGTCCATAGGTAACTAATCCCTCTGGTTGGGAAAGTGAGATATATAAAAGTCAAGCAAGCCAACGTTAGTTTAGTTCATTGTATCAGTATATCACCTGACGAAGCTACTTTGTTAGCGAAACATGTCGTGTGTTTGATAATTTTGTGGAAATCTTATCGTTTGTGGAGTTTTTACATTCGCCATGGATTTCCATCAACTAACGGCCGAGTCAATTCAAGATTTCAACTTATTTGTATAACAAAATGTACCGTTTGTCCGTGAGACGAGTTGAAAGTTGACATAGAAAAACCCATTTTTGTATTTGATCATAGTGTTAGATATTTTGAAAATGTATTTTAATTGTTAATCATTTTGTACTGTCTTAAATTTATATCCAACTGTAGATTACTCATTGCTTGAAATTTAACTCGTTTTGTCTGATAAGAAACGTGTATTGTCGAATTACGTGAGCACAACCGCTACCGGTCGATTCATCGAAAGGCATTCGAGTTGTCGGATTGGATGAAGTCGCTCGGAATATTTGCCGTTCTGCTTTTGTTCAATATTAACATTATACTTTTGAGAAATAAATTTGGTATATTGTGTTTGTGTGTGTGATAGCTATCCGTTCCCGAAAATCTAACAATAGTGTATTTTAGAGGATTTTCCTTCTTTCGGTGATCAAAGACACCCAAAAGAAATTGTGGAAGTGTTGAAACCACCCTCGCCCCCTGACATTTTTTTCAAAACATTCTTAGATGTGGTAATAAGGTTCTCAATTTTTCTGAGCGAGATGACTGCTTAATTATCTTCATTTTGTTACTCTCGTGAAAATTTCGTATTCCGCATAGTTCTGAAGGAAAAAAATGTTTTTCTGCAACCGACACAAAAGTCGTCCATTTTGATACCAAAATTAGCTCTTAAATTGACGTTTCTATTACTGACACAAAAATAGGTAGGTTGCTAGGCAACATATTTAGTTCCTAGGAGCTAAAGTTGAATTTTAGTTCCTAGGAGCTAAAGTTGAATTTTAGTTCCTAGGAGCTAAAGTTGAACTTTAGCTCCTAGGAACTGAAAAGGAAGTACTGGACGTCATCAAGAATGAACAACATTGTGACGGTTGGTTATTTGGGTTGAGACGCATACCTGATTTGTTTCCGATTTCAGCAGATTTGGAATTTCATACCCATGCTGAAGATATAAATACACCTTATTATAGTTAAGTATTGGAATTATAAACATCTCAGCTAAGTATTTCTGGTTGATCAGGAAAGCCTTCAAGATTCAAATACTTGCTTGATCTGTATTCCATTCGTTATTCTCGGGATGGATAACTTGTTTTTGAATAATCACGGCAAGCAATAGTTTTTTGTCTCAAACAACGATATTGTTTAGCTTCATTTGATTATTAAGCGAGAAACATTGTATTATAGAGAGGAGTAAATAATCGCCATTATCATTGTTGATATGCTCATTAGCCTAACATTTTCCAATTCTTGCTCCTATAGACAAATATGTCACTCTGTGATTGTACTTATATTGAAACTACAATTCGAACATCCTTGAAAATTGAATGAACCTGCTGTTGATGCAGGTAGAATGTTCTCACTACACGGATTATTTGTCAATATTTGTTGCATTGCATACATATGGCTCGGCATTGGTGGTAACTTCACATATTTATTTGAGTTAATTGTTTCGGTTGCAGAAAAAATAGCATGTTTCATTCGGATCAAAAGTGACTTTGTTCGACTCGCAAATTTTGCTTTCGCTCGGCTTCGCTAAACGCTCCGCCTCGCAAATGCAAAATTCGCTTGTCAAACAAAGTGTCACTTTTGATCCTAATAAAACAATCTACTATTTCTTAAATAATGCTAACAGATATTCCTAGTGAAAGTTTTTTCTACAAGTGTGCGTGATTCATTTAATTTGGGAAGTGTCATTTTCCCGTAACAGTGCGGGAAAAATAGTATTTTTTTCCACACTAGTATGGGAAAACAAAGATATCTCGCTTAAACAATTTGAGGACCCTACCATCCCTGAGAATGTTCTGAAAAAATGTCAGGGGGTGAGTGATTCAACCCTTTCGGGTTTTTTGATTACCGAAAGAAGGGTTATCCTCTAAAATGCACTTTTGTCGAATTTCATCCTATTTGTTTCACTCATTTTTGAACAGCGTACAAAGATGTGTTTTTATATGTAAACTTTGAACTCCTCTCACGGACAAACGGTAATATACTGGTACTGGTGGGGGACGTTTTCACGTCAGCAACTAGTCCCTAATGGGACCTTTTTGCAAACCCCAAGTGTTTTGAATGGCTGATGTGGTTCGCTCAAGAGAGCTGGCTAACATCCTTTTCAGGTACCGCCCATCAGCTCTCTTTCAGAGTTTTTCGGCTGTGTTTTGTAGGCTAGTAATGTACTCACTACCATATGCGCAGTGGCAGGCCTGCTAACTATCCTCGTTAACCCCCGAGACCGAGGTCTACTAAGCAGCTGGCCCGCTCTCACGCTCAGCTGGTAGTTTTTCCACACCCACCTACATACACCGTCCTACTTCTTCTCTGATGCTCACAACCACATCATCATATCTTTCTGCGTGTTCTGTGTAGGCTTTGTTACTAACTCCATGCGCCACTTTAGGAGCAGCACTGTTAATTGGAACGCAACAGCGAATCGTGCAGGACTATCCCCAGCCGATGCTCCGAAACTTTACAATATTTAATTCGTAAATAAAATATTGAAAAAAGTTCCTTGCTCGTGCTGGGAATCGAACCCACGACCTTGCGGTCGTGAGACGGACGCTCTTCCACTGCGCCAATACCGGCCAACGGTAATATAAATAAATTAAGTCCAATCAACTTATTTTCACCTTTATCACACATGGTAGCTCTGTGCCTCAGCAATTTTGAGACACCCTGAAGAAGTTATTTTCAGATGCATCACTACGATCTGTACAGGGGCGTCCGCAGAAATAATCTCAAGGAGGGGCAAGTCACAATAAATAATGTACAATATTCACTACATGTCAAAAAACAGTTTTTGCACGACCTATAAGCGATTTTACACCAACAAAAGCGGGAATACAGGATACAGGGTATACAGAGCAGGCACTTTCTAGGCTAAAAAGTTTTCCGGAATTTTTCTGGCAATAAATCTACCACTATGTTTGGAGCAGCTTCTTCAATAGTTTTTCCACACATTCCTGCAATATTTATTGAAAAAAGTTTGGAAAGCAATCAAGAAAATATGCTACCACACTTTTTTGATGTTCACAAAAAGCAATATGGCTACTCTTCTTTATCGGTAGTCATAATAATCAAATAACTTGATTTTGTGATTATTGTGTTCAGATTTTCATATTCATATTGACAATAATTGATTATATCATAAGATTCTTTCAATTAAAATCGTCGAGTCGTGCAAAAATGGCTATGCCATCTCTTATCGAGTTTTCTTTCAGGCAGATCGCTTCACGTGGTGGTGGACGGTGTATCGTCTGATACCATTGACATCAATTCCGGCGTTCCACAAGGATCAATTTTGGCACCAACATTATTCCTGCTTCATATCAATGATCTGTTGGGAGTAACAACTTGCCCCATCCACAGCTTTGCAGATGATAGTACCCTCCATACTGCGTTCTCTTCCAGAATTCCCATTTCTTCCCAGGAAACTAAGAACTCACGGCGCGGGCAGGTCAATGCTGTCAATGAAGATCTTGCTGAAATCACAGCCTGGGGAACGAACAACCTAGTTGAATTCAACGCCACCAAAACTCAAGCCTGCATTTTCTCTAGAAAGGCGGAACTCAGTATGCCCGATATTGTAATGTCTGGCTCCACCATCCCCACCAAGCCCACCATATCTATGCTCGGTATTTCCATCAGCAACACTCTTTCATGGGATAATCATGTCAGATCCATCGCAAAAGCTGCTTCACAAAAACTCGGATTCTTGTTCCGTGCGAAAAGCTACTTTACACCTCAACAGCTTCTCATGATCTACAAAGCGCAGATACGGCCTGTTCTAGAATACTATTCCCACATATGGGGTTCAGCACCAAAACATACGCTGATGCTCTTAGATTCCATCCAGAGAAGAGCCATTCGCCTGGTGGGTGACGCCACACTCACTCACTCTTTGACATCATTGGAACACCGTAGAAAGGTCGGCGACCTTTCACTTTTCTATCGATACTTCCACGGGAAATGTTCTTCGGAAATCTCTGCGATCATCCCTTCACTAGCAATACCAATCAGACGAACTAGACAAGCCCAGTCAGCACATCCTTTCGTTGTCAACCTCGAAAGATGTCGAACAGCACTTTATCAAGACTCCTTCATCCATAGAACGGCTAGGCTCTGGAATTCATTGCCTGTGGAAGTATTCCCAACAACATATAATCTCCAAAAATTCAAAAAAAATTCCAATACCTACCTCCTGTCCCTATCCTCCTTAGGAACGCACGATGTTCTTTGAACATTATAGGGATTCCCTTTCGTGCGCTCCAATCGATAAAAAAAAAAAAATATAAACCTCGGAAGTGAGTTCTTTCTTCCCTCAGTGCATTTTAGCACCCTCGGGCTATAAAACCACCCCTGGAAAATCATGCACTTTACTCTCTCGATATATAATCTACTATTATTCTACATAAAAATAGAATAATAAAGAAAGAAAATTATTTTATTTGACACCACATAGGTATTCTGTTTACAGCCAAGATTACAATAAAAAATTGCACGTGATAATATTCTTGTCCAAACAGAAATGGCATTCTTATAGAGTCTTGATAAAATTAAGTCTAGATCTGTCTATAAGATGTCAATGAATACTATAATTAAACAAAGTCTCAGAAAGTCACTATAATAAGCGCTAATCAGAATAGGAATTGAATAATGCAAATGTATCTTGTTTATAAAGTATCTGAGTAAAAACCAGGCGCTAGGGGAAGGGGGGCGAGCGCCCCCCCCCCTTGCCTCTCCCTCCGGACCCCCCTGGATCTGTATGCAGGTGATCGGTGAAATATGTATAAATATCAAAATTGAACTATTAAGACAACGCCCACAATTCGTGCGCCATGTTGTCACGTTTACCGGTTCAAAATGCAACTAGTGTGAATTAATATAACTATCATTTACACAAATTTATTATAACCAATAAGCCACAGCACAGGGAGAATTGTTATTGCTAATTAGGAATATTACCAATATGTAATATAGAATTTATGAATTATTGAATGACTTATATTTCTGAAGTTCCAATCGTATTTCAACATATGGCAACTATGCTATGGTCTGTTCCTACTTATGAAATCGTAACATCAATTCTTATTAGCGGTAAGTTTCTAGCAGTTTGAAAATTACCGTGGCATTATTGTAGATTTTAGCACCTTAAAATCGACCGAAAAATGTTAAAAAAATATGGAACTGAAAGGTATTTGAGTGATGATTCTATTGAAGAAATGAAAGAAAAAAAATAGTTCACTCGTCAATTGTATTCATGTCGGTGCAACTTACCAGCTGTTTGCTCGGCGACCGAACGAATTTCCTCTCCAGTATCCCTCTTTGTCGCACCTCCGACACCGTCTGGTATTCGGTGCGACCATAATAGGCAAACTTCGAGCCCAAAGACAGCGGGAATTTCCTTCTCACTCGGGGCGAATGGAGCCGGAAAAACGTGTGGTGTTCTACACAAGATTTCCACAGAGTTTTCGATGATCTGTAGGTTTCCATGTTGAAGCCCAACAAAGTATCGTAATTTTCTGACTGAAAAAAAATAACGTTCGTATACTCCTCAGCTCACCCGCTATTGTACCAGTGGCTGATATTATCCCCACCATTCGCGATTTCATTCTACTAACCGTGTTTGGCGTTTAGGTTTGTTCGAGTATACTTTTTAATCATTATTTTTGAATGAATTTGGTACCAAAGGATAATTTGATCAGACAAATCGATTTGTGGTACGTATAGCAAGATTCAATATACAGGGAGGTGCGGAACCCGTAACCGATGCAATAAAAATGTCGTTAGTTTGTTATGAATTTCCTTCTCACTCGGGACGAATGGTGCCGGAAAAACGTGTAGTGTTCTACACAAGATTTCCACAGAGTTTTCGATGATCTGTAGGTTTCCATGTTGAAGCCCAACAAAGTATCGTAATTCTCGCACTGAAAAAAAAAGTTCGTATACTCCTTAGCTCACCCGCAGATGTATAAGTGTCTGTTGTTATCCCCACCATTCGCGATTTCATTCTACTAACCGTGTTTGGCGTTTAGGATTGTTGGCGTATACTTTTTAATAATACTTTTTGAATGAATTTGTTACCAAAGGATAATTTGATCTGACAAATCGATTTGTGGTACGTGAAACAAGATTCAACATACAGGGAGGTGTTGAAATCGTAACCGATGCTATAAAAATGCCCTTAGTTTGTTATTTTTCACCAGAACATGATTCTTTAGTATGATAAAAAACCTCGAAGTTCGTCTGGTATTTGGTGCGACCATAATAGGCGACCTTCGAGCCCAAAGACAGCGGGAATTTCCTTCTCACTCGGGGCGAATGGAGCCGGAAAAACGTGTGGTGTTCTACGCAAGATTTCTTTGGCACCAAAGGATGATTTGATCTTACGAATCATTTCGTGGTACGTAACACAAGATTCTATATACAGGGAGGTGCATAACTCGTAACCGAAGCTATAAAAATGCCCTACGTTTGTTATGTTTCACCAGAATATGATTCTTTGGTATTTTTTATCGCTTGGAGGAAATCCCTATAATGTTCAAAGAACATCGTGCGTTCCTAGGGGGGATAGGGACAGGAGGTAGGAATTGGAATTTATTTTGAACTTCTGGAGATTATATGTTGTTGGGAATACTTCCTCAGGCAATGAATTCCAGAGCCTAGCCGTTCTATGGATGAAGGAGTTTTAATCAAGTGCTGTTCGACATCTTCCGAGGTTGACAACGAAAAGATGTGCTGACTGGGCATGTCTAGTTCGTATTGCTAGTGAAGGGATGATAGCTGAGATTTCCGAAGAACATTTCCCGTGGAAGTATCGATAGAAAAGTGAAAGGTCGCCGACCTTGCTACGGTGTTCCAATGATGTCAAAGAGTGAGTCAGTGTGGCGTCACCCACCAGGCATATGGCTCTTCTCTGGATGGAATCTAAGAGCATCAGCGTATGATAAAAAAACCTGGAAGTTCGTCTGGTATTTGGTGCGAACGTAATAGGCGAACTTCGAGCCCTAAGACAGCGAAAATTTCCTTCTCACTCGGGGCGAATGAAGCCGGAAAAACGTGTGGTGTTCTACGCAAGATTTCCACAGAGTTTTCGATGATCTGTAGGTTACCATGTTGAAGCCCAACAAAGTATCGTAATTTTCGCACTGAAAAAAAAAACGTTCGTACACTCCACAGCTCACTTGCAGCTGTACAAGTGTCTGTTATTATCCCCACCATTCGGGATTTCATTCTACTAACCGTGTTTGGCGTTTAGTATTGTTGGCGTATACTTTTTAATCATTATTTTTGAAAGAATTTGGTACAAAAGGATAATTTGATCTGACAAATCGATTTGTGGTACGTGAAACAAGATTCAATATACAGGGAGGTGCAGAAATCGTAACCGATGCAATAAAAATGCCCTAAGTTTGTTATGTTTCACCAGAATATGATTCTTTAGTATGATAAAAAACCTCGAAGTTCGTCTGGTATTTGGTGCGACCGTAATAGGCGAACTTCGAGCCCTAAGACAGCGAAAATTTCCTTCTCACTCGGGGCGAATGAAGCCGGAAAAACGTGTGGTGTTCTACGCAAGATTTCCACAGAGTTTTCGATGATCTGTAGGTTTCCATGTTGAAGCCCAACAGAGTATCGTAATTCTCACGCTGAACAAAATAAAGTTCGTGTACTCCTCAGCTCACCCGCAAATGTACAGGGTGGACAAAATTTGGCGTTTTCACGGGCTATCTCGCAATAACTAAGGGATATATGGAAAAACAGATAAACAAGTTACAGGTTCAATTTTAGAGGAACCTGAAATGGCGCAATTATAATTTTGATATCTTCATTCGTTTCAGAGTTACAGGGGGAATTCTAAAATTGCCGATTTCGTTTTTATTTTCTGAGTAGTTTATGATGAAGAATATTGAAACATTTCAAACATTTATTCATATAGTATGACACGAACGATCCATCGGCATAATTAGAAATATTGAACAGGGTGACCTTGAAAAAATAATGTAGCCAATTATATATTATCTGACAGAACACCCCGTATATTTTGACACAGTTGGGTAGTTCCGGGGGTTCAAAAATTCAGCAATTTCTGTGAATTAGCAAAAAAGAAGAAAAGAAAAACTCCTTTCTCAACTTCTACAACACAAATTTGTATAGATTCGGAATCCTCATGAAATTTTACGATGAACTAACTAGAGGTTTTTATCGGAAAATTTAGCAGTTTTTGTGATATGGCAAGAAAAAATATAAACTGTGTTATCCTTAACTTCTACGACACGAATTCCCAAATTCGTAAACTGTAAACTGGCCCATTATTAGAAAAAATATATAAAAAAAGAAGATTAAGCCGCCTCACCGGTTCCCTTCTCAGCTGTATAAAAAACCGCTTCCTCTTGAAGGATATCTTCATGATCTTCGACCACGAGAACAAGTTGATCCTGACACCGTTCTGGAAGACGACTAGTCCCAAATGCGTCACGCCCAGCTGTATCTCCTTGTGGGCGTTGTCTTTCGCCTTGTGCAGCTCCACCCCGTACATGTCGATTCGTTTGGCGTGGTCGAGAAAATTGAATTCGGCGTCGGCCGGCAGCTGGCCGCTGAAAAATCGGAAAATTCAAAATATTGTCGCCTAAAGTGCTACTTTACGTCCGCAAAACCGGGCTGTAAACTGCCACTTTACACTTAGCCGCTGGAAAAACGCGTCGGAAGGAATAAAATCATGCACTATCGCCGCTGTACCCCTTCATCGCCCAAGGGAGTTGAAGTGCTACTTTACTTCCGCAAATTCGGGCGATAAAGTGCTACTTTACATCCCAAATCCAGGCAAAGGAGTGCGAGTTCACTGAAGTTTTAACCTATTATTCAATTCAACAGGTCATTGTGAATTTTATATAATTTTCATTCTTTATTTTGAATGTGTTTCACTTTCTCCTGCCTTTGTATCCAATTTCTCCACATATTTTGTATCTTTGTTCTTGTTATTTTATTCAGATCATTATTTTATTATGTTTCATCTTTTACATATCATGTATTTTTGCACTTCAATGATTGAGGGTCGAGATCATTTTTATTTTAAGCACTGATGTTATTGTAATTATGATTTGCTATACAGGGTGGCCCACGGTCGATGGTACCTCAGACGTATACGGAAAACGGTACATTGGATTATCCTGAAAATTTGGTTACTCTAATAAGCGTTTGTGATCTAACGATTCAAAATATTTTCAGCGAAGCAGCGTTGCCACTTTTACCAAAAAGTAGCATCATCTTTGTTATTTCAAATGGAACACCCTGTATTTTATTGCGTTTTTAGATTCTTCTCGAAGAGCTGATTTCATCAATGTATCACACTTGGGGTCTAGCAGGAATTATTACAGAGATATAGGGTGTTCAAAATCGAGGTTTTTCAACTTTAGGATCATTTTGTGTCGAAACTATTCATCATTGGTCCAAACGGCTTACATGTCCCTATATTAACTTTTGATTAACTATCTACCGACATTTAATTGGAAAAAATACAGGATGGTCCAAGATTCAGAATTTTGATCACCCTGTATCTGTTCCAATTAAATGTCAGTAGATAGTGAATCAAAAGTTAAGATAGGGACATGTAAGCCGTTTTGATCGATAATGAATAGTTTCGACACAAAAAATTCCTGAGAATGAAAAATCTCGATTTTGAACACCCTATATCTCTGTAATAATTCCTGCTAGACCCCAAGTGTGATGCATTGATGAAATCAGCTCTTCGAGAAGAATCTAAAAACGCAATAAAATACAGGGTGTTCCAATTGAAATAACAAAGATGATGCTACTTTTTGGTAAAAGTGGCAACGCTGCATCTCTGAAAATATTTTGAATCGTTAGATCACAAACGCTTATTGGAGTAACCAAATTTTCAGGATAATCCAATGTACCGTTTTCCGTATACGTCTAAGGTACCATCGACCGTGGGCCACCCTGTACATGTAATTTACATAACAAGGTCAAGGTCTGCAAATCCGTGCGATATCGTGCTACTTTATCTCCGAAAATCCGGGCGATAAAGTGGTATTTTACGTCCGCAAAGCCGGATGATAAAGTGCTATTTTACATCCGCAAATCCTGGCGATAAAGTTCTACTTTACGTCCGCAAATCCCGGCGATTAACTGCTACTATATTTCAATCGATGGCCATCATTGGAAACGTTACTCACGTGTGCAATTTGTGTAACTCGGATATCTTCTTTTCGATTTCCTCAGTCTGATTAGGGACCAATTGTAGATTTGATAAATAGTTTGGTCCATGTTCCTCGGGTTGAAAGTCTCCTAATTCAGCTGAAAATATGGAAAATGGAATACCCTGTATTTCATTGCAGAAGGAAATACAGGGTACCCTGTATATTTTGCATATTAAGTTGGTACTTACATTGTACTGTATAACTAGCTAAAAGTATGGCAGTGCTAGGTGCTAATTGAATTCTTCCCTCTAAAATATCTCTTCTCAACTGGAGATAAAACTGATATCTGGTGTACTCTTCTTGGAGTTTACTCGGATCGGACACATAAAATTTTACTCTAAAATATAGTTGATTTTGGCAGTTTCCAAGTTGTTTCTTGATTGATTTGGACGGATCCAACCACCGCTAAAATAAAAAGCGGGGGATATTTCAGGTGAAAATTTCACACCAAACATTTTCGATCAATTTAAAGCCTGTATTTCGTATCGTTACCATAGCAACTAAACAAATTCCTTGGAAATTTTTTCCTCCTCCTTGGGGGGCAGAGCATGAAATTACACTGGAAATTTTTTGACGTTTATAGGTTAAATGACATTTACATTCAACTTCAGATTATTTCGAGTTCATTCTGTGAGTCAATAAATGAAAATCATTTATCAACAGTTTACCATATTATATTATGTAGGTATACTTGCAAATTAGAAATTTACAAAAACACATGTTCTTACTATACGTTAGTTCTTACATTTCATCACAAACAACCATCTTTTTCAACTAAATCATTCAAGTGTTGTTGATATTTCTTAGCTTTACATTGATCGAAAATGTTTGGTGTGAATTTTCTTACCGAATACCACTTTAGCTTCAATTAATATCCGGAAATAATTGAAGCTCTCGTGATATTATAAGTGAGAATTTTGTTGTACAGGGTGGACCAAATTGGATATTCTTAAAGGCAAAGTCCTATTCCTATACAATATAAAAAAAAACGGATGTAGGTGCCTGTTAATCAATTCACATGACAAACTCAAAGGTGAAAACCACATATCGATATCTATCTTTATTTCGGAGTGACAAGGTGTTTTTCGAAAATGTGGATTTTTCAAAAAGTGACAAAAACTCTTTTTTTTTTTGGCAAAAATTCTTCGTTTTCATGAAAACATTTCCAAAGCCTTGGGTTTGTCATGAAAATTGATCCTCAGGCACTGAAATTAGTCACCGTATACCCAGTTATTACAAAATAGAGATCTTTATCTTTTGGAAGAACGAGTTATATTCTTGAACTAAATATAGGAAGGCCGATTTCAGTGCCTCGAGAACAATTTTTATCACAAACTCAATGCTTTGCAGTTATTTTCATGAGAACAGACAATTTTTGCCAAAAAAATATCTGTAGTCACTTTTCAAAAATGCCCATTTTCGAAAAACACCTTGTAACTCCGATACGGAAAATTTTAGAGAAAAAACCATGAATAAAGAAACAAAATGCTCGCAAAAGAAGCCTCTTCCATATAGGGTGCAAGCCTTTTCTATGTCATTACTCAATTAACACACAGGGTGAGTAAAAAATTTAGAATAAATCATGGTTCGAGTTATTCCACCACCATCAAGGAGGCTTTGAAAAAACAATTTTTTTTTCAAAGACAAATGCATTACCTACCAACAAATAATAAAAAATAAAAATCGGCCTACTATTTTTTCTTTTTAAGGAGATAGGTCAAATATCAAGTGCGTCACTTTTTTTGGAACTGAGTGTATTCATTACAAAAACTGTTTTGAGGTCCCTATCTTAACTTTTGATCCACTATCGACTGACATTTAATTGAAACAAATACAGAGTCATCAGAATTCTAGATTTTTCACCACCCTGTATCCGTTTCAATTGAATGTCAGTCGATTGGGACATGGAAACCGGTTTCGCTAATAATGAATAGTTTCGACACGAAAAATTCCTAAAGTTGAAAAAATCTTAATTTTTCACATTCTGTAATCATTTCAGCTAGACTCCAACTGTGATAGATCGATGAAATCAGCTCTCCAGGGAGAATCTAAAAATGCATAGTATTTTCAATAGGACACCCTGTATTTTACAACTATAAATGTTGCCCATAAGTTTTCTTGAGATGTTCAACTGTTTTTCTGTTGGCATATATAAAATCTACAGGAAAAAATATAAAAGAACGTTCCTTGAAAAAACAATGTAACAATACATAAAGAAGTTAAGTTGTGGTTCAAAATATACGTGAAGGCCCTGTACATACCTATGGCGTATTATACTTACTTAGTATTTGTAGTTGTTGATGGTTGTTTTTATTGTGATGTATTTTGTTTGTTTCCAATTTGCTGGATCTTTTAACAAATGAAGTTTTATTACAAAGTCAATGCTTTGCAGTTATTTTCATGAGAACAGACAATTTTTGCCGAAAAAATATCTGTAGCCACTTTTCAAACATGCCAATTTTCGAAAAACACCTTGTAACTCCGGAACGAAACCCACATATCGATATGCGGATTTTACCATTGAGTTTTTCATGAGAATCGATCCTCACGCATCAACATCAGTTTTCTTCCATCTGGTTCGAGAATAGGACTTTCCCTTTAAAAGTGTCCAATTTGACCCACCCTGTACGAATGGTGGCATTTATAGGGAATGGGGAAGTTCCAATATTGAGGATTTTATCTCACAAAGTTTGTGAAAATTTTAATATAAACGTTTCTTCTCTTTTTTTCGTAAGGTCAAATTTCACTTCAGAAAAAATAAATGGTATCACCGAAAAGCTCATTGGATGAGCTTTCAGATTATGAAATAATATACAGGGTGATCCATTTGAAAAAAATAAGTTTCGGCGATTTGGAAATAGCGAAATTCGGTCCTTATTTTAAAACACCTCGTATATTTTGAGTGAACCCAAATAATGTCTGAGTTTCTACACATACTTTTAGTGTCTGTATACTCAGTTTTGTTCATAAATCTTCGAAAATATAGTTTCCCTGAATATTTTTCAACATTCATGTTTTCTCGTCAAATTTGATTAAAATGTTGATAACTTGACAACATCGCATCTAATCTTTAAAAACAAAATAGGTTTGTGTGTGCCATTTAAAAAAACGATCGATTCTTTCACCCCGGATTCATGGTGCACCCTGTATACTAGAAAATAATTTTGAAGAGTAGATTATGAAGATTATGAATAACTTCCGATGACATTTTTTTTTCAATCTCTATCAGCCTAGCAGCTATGGTCCGAGCGAGCATAAGTGGGCCATCCTGTATTTGGGCTGTAGGTCAATAGCGCCGCGGTCAGTTTGACCTTCACCGGTTACAAGATCGGCTACAATCCATGCTAGGATCGGCTTTTTATTTCATTTTGTTCTGAAGTGATTATCAGAAGAATACTTTCTTCGGAGTAGAAGCATTTAGGCTGAGTAAGGTTAGATTGTTCAGAAAAAGTAGTCTCCTTTAATCAATGAATTGGTGTTGAAAAATATACTTATTCATAGACAGAAGGTTCATTAAGGCCGAATAAGGTTAGATTGTTTAGAAACAGTAGCCTCCTTCCAAAAAAATGTACTGTCCATGAAGAAGGCTCATTTAGGCGTGAAAAGTTTGCCGGGAAAAATATTAGATTTTAGCTCACGATTTTTTGTCTCCTTCCGCTACGCGTCGGGAGACAACACAACCTGGAGCTGAAATCTACTACTTTTTTCCCTTGTATAATAAATAACTAATTTTAGCTCACGGTTTTTTGTCTATGTTAAAAGACAACAACCTGGAGCTAAAATCTCCTACTTTTTTCCCTTGTATAATTATAGTAAATAACTATTATTTCATGATAGCTATGATTCTCCTTATTTATTCCAATATTGCGATTATTCGCAATAGAAAATAAGCGTACGCCACCTATCGGAGTTCTTGAAAGCTGTCAAAGCGGCCTGCTCGGCGGCCTGTTTAGTTTGTTTTTATTGGTTCTCATTTGTTTTTTGTTCGTGTTTATTGGTCATATTATCAAAACGAACCGCTCAGAAGTGTTGAAGTTGTTGCCGTCAGGTGGAGCGACGTGTTATTTTCTATCGCGAATTTGCAATAAAAAACACACATAACTGCCAATCTCGGGAGATCTCGAAATTGTCGAGATCTGGGGAGATTGTATTCCCTAATCATTTTGCGTTCAGATTTCCCAAGTGATATCGAAAAACCATCACAAAATGCTCTATTCTGTTCGCCCATCAACATTTTTTAGTATTTTTATTTCTTAATTGGTGTTGAAATGAACATTTTATCACCAGTTATTATGTAATATTTTACTATATGCAACTGGTTATCTTAATAACGCCGAAAAAATTCAAGGGATGATGCCTTGTGATATTCTAGCAAATAAAGTTCATATAAACATGTCCTAACTTGCTCCGTTTTTGAGATACAGGATGTTGAAGTTGGGAATAGTAATTGTTTTCATTTCTAACACCCCTGTATGAGCTTTCATGGTGCCAAAATTTAGTATAGTTGGGGACTGAGAAAGTCCCGAAAAATTCAAAATAATTGTATTGTAATGTAATTGAGTAATCTCAATGGAAGTCTTGAAAACACCTACATCAAATTTGGAGTCAAATCGAATTTTTATTGATTCCTCAAAAAGAGAGGTAGATACAAAAACAAAAGTTGTTATTTAAATAATTCAATATAATAAAAATATGAAACTCAGAAAAACCGGTGGGGTACAATGACATTCACCATAAATATCGATAAATTTACCCACTGTGACGCCACTGGAAATATTATTTTGAATCTAATTGCACTAGAAGAGGTTCCATATTACTATTAACAAAACCACAACGTTTTATTGAAATTGATGAAAAGACAATGGAGTAATGAATAAAAAAACGATTTTTCATGGAAATGTTAATACCCTGTATCTCAAAAACAAAGCAAGTTAGGACACATTTCATATGAACTTCATTTCCTAAAATATGACAAGGAATTACCCCTTGAATTTTTTCGGTGTTATTCATTATTCATCATTTTTTCTTATTTATTTACTACCCTCAGTTTTGAAAAGTGTCAAATTAGTTACATGTCAAAATTATAAATTCAAAGTTTCTGTAAGAATCAGAATTTGGCTTATTTATCATGGGTAGCAATGGAATGTCATGATCAAACATGACTTCCAATAATTAAACACAAACAAATTGTAACATTTTCATGATATCATAATTTGATTGATATTTTTGAACCTCTAAACATTTTTTCTTAAATTTGATGTGATGATATCACACTATACACAGTGAATTGCCAGGTGAATTGTTCATATTATAATATCTTATTGTGGGATATTCTGGGATTAATTGTTGGTATTTTTTTAAAGATCTACAATCACTGTTTCACAGGAGGTTTTCCATACCCCAAATAACCCTTGGTTGGGAGTAAGTTTTTTGATGATATAAAAACATTATGGATAAAATATCCAACAGATAACGATGACCTTGACAATGAATTTCCTAGCTAATGCTAATACCACAGAATATTGAATCATATCTGTCCAATATTGGAAATACCTTATTTGAAAACAGAATGATAACTATTGTTTGAATATCTAACAGAAAACAACTACTCTAACTGAACTAACTAAACTAACTATCCAGGATATAATTCAATACTGTCCATCAAAATACTTTTTCTTGAAAATTCTAGAAACACAAGAAATTTCAGGCATGAAGGAATTGAGGAAATTTGAAGATTTGTGGGATTTTGAGTGTATTTGTGGGAATTTGCAGGAATCGTGAGAATTTAAGGGGGGAATTGTGGGAATTCATGAGGAATTGGGGAAATAAATGGAGAATTTACAGGAATTCATTTTCAAAAGAGGATTAGTGTACATATTATCCCTGGGTGAAATGGCCATATCAAAAAAGACACTTCCACAAAAAAATTTAACTCCACCAAAAGTATACTTTATTTAACAATGATTGGAGATATTTTTTTTTTGTCAGAACATCAATATGTTTGTTCCACTTCAACCTGTCATCAAACCAATTACCAAGATAATTTATCTTGTTAGTTTGTTTCAAGAGTTCATTTTTTATTTTGAGGTTGAGATAAATTTGTTGTTAATTTTTTTGGTGAACAATCATATATTCTTTTTTGTTAGTTTTTATCCATAAAAGGTTAGAGTGGAGCCATTTTTCAAATATTTGCAAGTCTTCATTTATCATATTTTCAAAATTTGAAGGATTCTTGCCTTCATATAAAAGTACTGTATCATCTGCATACATGGTATATTTACTCACTAGACCAATTTCACTGATACTTAACTCACTGAACATAAAGTAAATATAGGATATGCCCTAAAAACAGAGCCTTGTGGGACACCCTTACTGATTAATAGTTCATTTGACACAGAGTTGTTTGATTTTGTATTGATTGTCCTATTTTCAAGATATGAATTCAAAATATTTCTCACAGTGCCTCTGAGTCCCATTGTTTTTAAGTTTTCGGAAAGTGTTGTATGATCAACTGTGTCAAAAGCCTTTTTGAGATCAATGAAGACAGCTACCACATAATTTCCTGAATCAAGTCCTCTCTGGATTGATTTTATCACTTGAAATACTGCTGCTTGTGTTCCACTGTTTTCTTGAAATCCAAATTGATTAGAATCGAAGCTATATTTTTTGTTGATGAATTCTACAATTCATTTCTTGAGAATTTTTTCAAAAATTTTAGAAAATATGCTTATTAAAGCTATTGGTCTATAGTAAGTCTGATCCTGAGCATTTTTGTAAATAGCTCTTACCGAGGCTCTTACTGATGCATATTTTGATTCATGTGGGAAACTTGCTTTCTTTTATGAAAGATTCATTGATCAATTTTGATATTGGTGTAGCTAAAATGTGTCTCAATTCAAATATGCCTTTAGTTATCAAACCAATTACCAAGATGATTTATCTGGTCAGTTTGTTTTGGAAGTTCATTTTGTATTTTAAGGTTGGGGTACATTTTTTGTTTATTTTTTTGGTGAAAAATCATATATTCTGTTTTGTTAGTATTTATCCATAAAAGGTTAGAGTGAAGCCATTTTTCAAATATTTTCAAGTCCTAATTCATCATATTTTCAAAATTTGAAGGATTCTTGCCTTCATATAAAAGTACTGTATCATCTGCATATTTTGAACATAAAGTAAATATAGTATAAGTCCTAACAGAGCCTTGTGGGACACCCTTATTAATTACTAGCTTATTTGACACAGAGTTGGTTGATTTTGTATTGATTGTCCTATTTTCAAGATATGAATTCAAAATATTTCTCACAGTGCCTCTGAGTCCCATTGTTTCTAAGTTTTCTAAAAGTGTTGCATGATCAACCTTTTTGAGATCAATGAAAACACCTCAAAAAACATAATAACCAAAGTGAAACAAACACTTACCATCCATGAACTCCCATTCCCCAAAATACATGAATCTTCAGAGTATTGCAACCCAAAATAATCCTTCTCCACCAACTCCAAATGTTGATAGACCAGTTCTAAAAGGACAGAGCCCTTCACTCTATTGTCAACGTGAAAGACATATTCAGCATCATCCAGAAATCTCACAGTCACACTGAGCCCTTTGAGCTTTCTTTCTCTTGCTGCAGCCAGCTCTAAGGCATGAACATTATAAGTACCACTGGAACCTCTGAATGCTCTTTTTGACACACTTTCGATCATCCTCACAGAACTCTATTCTGCTCAGGTCAATATGCATGCTACAAAAACTGATTTAAAGAGTTTTGTTCAGGAACTAATGGAAGAAATCTTTATCTATTTGAGGAAAGGTAGATAACACCAGCTCAGAGATAATAAACACCCATGATACATGATTAATTGATAATAAGGAGAAATTAAAACTGTTTCATTTGATTGGTCATAGTAACATCCTGTATCAGTTAAATCAGTGGGTTGGGTTCTCTTCCATATTTTGTTTCACTATTATCATAATAATTGTTATCACTAACCTCTTGCTCCTGCAATGAATGAAAACAATTAAAACTATTTATACTCAGTGCATTCATTACATTACTCTCAATGTTTGTTATAAAACGGAAATAGTTATAAATACCTACAAATATAAATAAGGACTATCTGCTTATGCATCAAAATCTCGATTGTTTATAGAAAAACTTCTTAAATTAACGGTTAGTTGTCTGCTAACTATTTTGTTGGCACGAATACCGATTGTCATAAACCCATTATTGTTTTTATTTATTGTATACAGTAATAAAATGTAAACTATAATAAAAAATTCAAAGTAATATTATTTCATTTTGAATGATTGTGTGATGACACTGATGACATGGATGATAAATGACAAATAGTGATGACATATGACGTAATGGCGATGACATAATGTTGACAGTGACACTGAATCACTGAAAATTAGAGCATGCACTGGAAGGACTGCAGTGATTTCATGAATGCCTAAAGTTTTCGAACCATTCCTAAACCTTATTTTCAGATTGTTCACAGCATTGTCGATCTAAATGAAAACCTAGTAGGGCGACCTAGTGCGAGGAGGCTATTTACAACACCTCGGGGTCTCGAGAGGAAGGAAAATTACTCTTGGAGGCCTAAATCACTATACAACTGATCACAGAGCGCTAAGCGTACGCTACCTATCGGAATTCTTGTCGGCACAGCGGCATCTTCACACTGTTTTCATTGGTTCACATTGGTTTTTTGTTTGTGCTCATTGGTCATTTCATCAAGTAAACCGCTCAGAAGTTTTCAAGATGCTGTAGTCAGGTCACGACGTAGTATCTATCGCGAATAAAAAATAATCATAAAAAACACGAATCTCAACATATCACGTGATGGGAATGGATCGAAAGATTTAGACACTTCTGTGATTTTTACAAACTATACAGGGTGATTCCAAATGCGATGTAGATATTCTGTGGACATATTGTTGGGATCAAAATAAGACTGTTTTTTCTATATCATGTGTCCTAAAATGCACCTCCTCCGAGCTACAGAAACCGTAAGTTGGGTTATGAAAAATATTATCTGAAATATAATAAACTGATCTAATCTTATGAAAATTGGCATATGTGTTCAGAATTCTAAATCTTGAACCATCCTGTATTTGTTTTAAATGAATGTCAGTAGATAGTAAATCGAAAGTTGAGATAGGGTTATATAAACCGCTATGATCAATGATGAATAGTTCCTAAAAATCCTAAAAATCCTAAAGTTGAAAAGTCGATGCAACAACAACCTTCAATCACAACAAAATTATACAGAATGATAAAATAATATCTATATCAACTATATTTCAAAGAATATAAACTTTCCGCAGGAACAATATCTTTATCAAAACTTATTTTTCTATAGGACGACAAAACTTTGGAATTCTTCGCCAGAAGAGGTATATTCCCAAGAAGTTGAAAACATCCTTCCTAGCGCTCCAGAGGATATTAAAAAAAACGATATCCTGGGATTCTTCCACGTGCGATCCAAAGGTTGAAAAAATTGCATGTCTAATCGTTATTTATGTGCATGCGCGCATTCAACAGTTTTCCAGCTCCCGTTTTATCTGGATTCCAGAATCCCGATCGAGTTACCTACCATCGCGATTGTTATGTTTCCGCTCGAAAATTTGAAGCGGTTGTTTTGAAAAATGCAAACTGAGGGGAAGTTTGTGCATCATTGAGTTTCGAGACTTGTGATCTCCATAAAAGTCAAGGAGAATATCCTTGATTTGGTGTTTTTCGTGGAGAAGTTGCACAGTTGGTTCAACAGGTAAGGGTAAGGATGATATTGATTTCCTCCAATACCTATTGCTATTCGCTTCGCTGGATTGCTGGGCTATTTTTGGATAGCTATCTGTTTAATAGAGCACGTCAGACAAACAACAAACTTGTTGAATCTACCCACGAATTGAATACCTACACCTATCACCTATCTCTAGCTATATTTTATACTAGCAGACCTTGCAAACGTTGTTTTGCTATACAAATACCTACATTATTTCTATAATATATTTTTCCAGTTCAATATTCATCAAGACACTCAGTATCATTATTTTATTTTCTACTTCTTTTGAGTTTCGTTATTTATAAAAGCGTGTTTCTTTAGTTTTTCAAACTACCATTTATTTCAACTTCTTTTTAGTTCACTTGAATTTCCCAATGATGATGAGAGAAACATAATATCCGACTCCTAAAACCCCAGATGAAAATGGTGAATAGAATCGGAACATAATTACAAAACTCGTCCGCAATAATCTTGAATTCCCTAATCCGGTATATTGGTTCCACCGTCTTGAATTTCCAAATCCCGCCCTTTCTAAATTTTGACAAAAGAATCATAATCTCCGACCCCGAAAACACCCAGATAACAATTTTGAAGAGAGTCGGATCATAATTACAATACTCGTCCGCCATATTGGGTCCGCCATCTTGAATTTCCTAATTTTGACGAAAGAATCATAATCTCCGACCCCGAGAAGCACCAGATACCAAATTTGAATAAAATCGGATCCTAATTACAAAATCGTTAAAGTTCTACAGGAAGATGTCTCTATATCGATTTCGGCTATTATAACTTCTGATCTATAATGATTGACAGTAGTTTCAGGCAAACTTCAAGGTTCAATATCTTACAAAATAAGTACTATAATTTTTTGACAAAAAGCTATTCTCTCATTCCGATTTGTTTTGTAATTATTACGTTGTTATAGTGCTTTTCCGCAAATTTGTCGATCTGGAAAAACTCACTGCTCCTTGCATTGTCCGAATACCTATATACAGTCTGTCCAAGATAAGGTTGAACAGCATGGGGATCTCGAAAACGGTAAGAGATACGAAATCGGTTAAATGGGGAAAAAGTTGCGCATTCGGAGGCTCATATCAAGAGCCTTCGAAAATTTTGAAAATTATTTTTAGTCTTTGAGTTATATCGAAAAAAGTGAATTTTTGGAATTTCTATTTTATTTTTTTTCTCCGTTATTATTAGAGATACAGCAAAACTGAGAATACTTTTTCATAGCAACTTTTGATGACGGTCAACGTGGTGATACCTATTTTTTCATGCGACGTTTCGTATTCGTGGAACCATCATCAACTTTTGTTTTTTAAATACGGTCCTGATAATTTTTTCACAGATTCTAGAAGGTTTTTTTATTCTGAATTCAACCATGTATTATACAAGGTGGTTCATTTGTGTTTCGACCTGTTTTTGGCCATCATCAATGTTTTTTCGAAACTCCAAAGGAAAAATGCCATCAGTTCCACTTATTTTGAAGGAAAATCAGTCAACATACTAATACCTCATCAACTGGTTTCAATCAACAACCCATTTCATTTTGCAGAAACAAAAATTCCATCCATACAAATTCAGAATATGTCAAGCGCTAAAACCAGGCGATGACGAAAGGCGCAAGACATTCTGTGAGTGGTATACCAGGAAATGTTAAAATTTTGCAGATTTCTTTCGAACAATCATCTGGACTGATGAAAGCATGGTCACTAATCATGGTAGCTTCGATAGAAAAAATACACATTATTGTTCACGAGAAAATGAATATTTATACATTACAGCGAGACACCAACACCGTTTCGGCTTTAATATGTGGGTTGCAATATTTGGTACACGAATTATTGTTCCTTTTATTTACCATGAAACACAGACTTCCGAACGTTATAGAAATTCGCTTGAGAATCATCTTGAGGAAGCTCTGGATGATTTACCGATTGCGGAAGTTCAGAACTCTGTTGGTTTCAACAAGATGGCGCTCCGGTACATAATTCCAGAGAAGTCCGTGCGTTTTTATCCCTTGGCCGGCGCGGTCGCCTGATTTGACACAGCTGGATTTTTTCTTAGGGGATATATCGAACTTTGTACACGCAAATAACTTTGAGGATGAAGAAGAACTAAGGGACAGTGTCTTCGAAGCATTCAATAGAATAACCCCAGAAATGCTTAGCAATGTCTTAGAAACAACTGTGAGAAGAGGATATCTTTGTTCAGAAAATAATGGTTATCATTTTGAACATTTGTTATGAATGTCTCTGTAGGTATTGTCAAAGTTAAGTTGTTAAAGTAATTCGTGTAAGAATTCATCAACAATTTTAAACGCTGCATTGATCGAATGATGAAGTGAAATATTATTTATTCACTTTTCAGTATTGAATAACTAATCCATCAAGTTTGACACTAAATGATAAGAAATAAGTGGAACTGATGGCTTTTTTTCTTTTGGAAGTTCGAAAAAACATTGATGATGGATAGAAATAGGTCGAAACACATTCGAATCACCTTGTATAGTACATTGTTGAATTCAGAATAAAAAAACCTTTCAGAATCTGTAAAAAAATTATCAGGACCGTATTTAAAAAACAAAAGTTGATGATGGTTCCACGAATACGAAACGTCGCATAACAAAATCGGTATCACCACGTTAAACCTTATCAAAAGTTGCAATGAAAAAGTATTCTCAGTTTTTCTGTATCTCTGATAATAACGGAGAAAAAAAATAAAATAGAAATTCCAAAAATTCACTTCTTTCGATATAACTCAAAAACTAAAAATAATTTTCAAAATTTTCGAAGGCTCTTGATATGAGCCTCCGAATGCGCAACTTTTTCCCCATTTAAGCGACTTCGTATCTCCTACCGTTTCCGAGATCCCAATGATGTTCAACCTTATCTTGGACAGACTGTATATACCTA